TGGTGGGGGGGGGGGTTGTTGTTGTTGTTGAGGCGTGGCTAAGCAGAATAGATTAGAGTTGTAATGGAGGCGTGGCATAACAATTAGATGTTAATGTTGCATTTGTGGATATATCGTAGAATTTCGTCACAGTTATGTTTCTGACCTAGAAGTTGTTCGAGTGTCATTTGAGCATCAGAGTATCCAAGTGCCTTCTGGAGTGACTGTCTTTGGACTTTGTAATTTGTGCACTTAACCATGAAGTGTTCGACGTCATCCGTGCATCCACATGTAACGCAGAGTTTGTCGGGGTGTTGACCAATGTTATGCAGGAAGGTATTAAGTCCTTTGCAAGTTCCCAGCCGAAGTCTGTGAAGGGGGATTTCTTGTTGGCGTCTTTTACCCCAATTGGTGAAGGTGAAAGAGGGTTTAAGTTTGAAATGTTTAGTCGGATCAAGGTTTGGGACAATTTTCGTCCATTGGTCTATAAGGTCATTTTTAAGGCATCTTTTGATTTCGGTATCAGAAAAGGGGATATTGTGATCGACATTTGGCTTTTTTGCGCCAGATTTAGCAACTTTGTCAACTTTTTCGTTACCAGGAATTCCACAGTGGCCAGGGACCCATTCGAAGACAACAATGTTGCCTTGGTGCTGTATATTTATGAGGATATGGCGAATGTCACAGATAATTTTATTCTGAGGAATGGGGTTCGAGATGGCTTGAATTGCACTGAGACAGTCACTGAGCACACATGCATGAATGGGTTTGACATCTTCAATCCATTCTAGAGCTAGAAGGATAGCAAAAAGTTCAGCTGTGAATATGGAGATGCCATTGTTAAGTCTGATGCTTTTGGAATACTTGAGTTGAGGAATATAAAGGCCACAGCCAACAGTATTGAAATCGGGGTTAAAGGAACCATCAGTATAGATTTGGAGTGAATTGTTCCGGACAGTGTTAATAATTTCTTTGCTAATACTGCCTCTGATGTTGATATCATTTATATGCGAGACCTGGGAGACAATTTCTGTAGATATACTAGGTTTATAATAATGCCAATATGGGAAAGGGTTGATTAAAGGAAACGTTTCAATAGGGTATCGAGTAATTCTAGCTTCAAAAGGGGTTTTATGAGCAGTTAGTCTCCATTTCTCTGTGAAGTAGTTTTTCTGCCAATTGTCCTGTTGGAGATGGTGGTTAGGATGTTTTTTATGGGCATTTATTTTGATATTGTGCAGATTACTTAGGAATTGGCGACGAAGATTCAGTGGGGGGTCGCCACATTCAAGTTGAAGTTTATACAAAGGTGAACCTTGGAGGGCTCCAGTGCAGAGTTTGAGGGACTGGTATTGGATACTGTCCAACTTCTGTTTGATAGTGGCTGAAGCTGAATCAAAAGCTTCGCAACCATATTCAAGGATCGGTTTAATGAGGGCATTATATAACTGGAAAAGTGTCTTACAGTCAGCGCCCCATGTAGTTCCGCTAATGCAACGCAAAAGGTTAAGTTTTCTCTTACATTTAGTGACAATATTGTTAATGTGGTGCTTCCAGGTTAACTTGCTGTCAAAGGTGACACCCAGGAATTTAGCTGATTGGAGGATTTGGATATTATGGTCTTGAAGGAGGAGAGAAATATTAGATTTCTGTTTGTTTGTGAAGAGGATCGCTATCGTTTTGGGTTGAGAGAGCTTGAATCCCCATTTTCCGCACCATAAAAGGATATTGTTGAGACTTTTTTGGATTTTCTTTTGAATGAATGGGATGTTTCTGTTTGACTTCCAGATCGCTATATCGTCGGCATATTGGGACATGTGAACATCTGGTATGTGGTGGGAAAGATGCAATATTGAACAAAAGGGGCTGATGACAATGCCTTGAGGGACGCCATGTTCTTGAATTCTTTCTGAGGAGAGGGTGTCATTAGTTTTTACTTGAATTTTCCTGTCGCTGAGGAAGTTGTTAATCCAGCAGATAACGCGACCATATACGCCCATGGCTTGAAGTTTGATGATGACCCCTTTGCGCCATAGCATATCGTAGGCCTTTTCGACGTCTAGGAAAACAGCAAGGGTGCTTTCTTTGTTCGCCCGGGCTTTATTTATCGATGACTCCAGATTGATAATGTGGTCTTTGGTGCTGCGGCCTTTTCTAAATCCACTCTGATGTTGGCTGAAAAGATCATGTGTTTCAATGTACCAGAGAAGACGGCAATTAATCATTCGTTCCATCAGTTTACAAAAGGTGGAGGTGAGGGCTATAGGTCGGTGGGATGAAGGGTTGACAGGATCTTTGAGAATGGTTTGAGAATTGGGATGAGAATAGTTTCTTTCCATTGCACGGGACATTGGGAAGTGTGCCAAATCATATTGAATATAATAAGCAGGTATTCACGAACTTTGATGGGGAGATGTTTAATGACCATATTACTAATTCCGTCTTTACCAGGGGTGGTGCACTTAGAAGCATCGATGGCATGGTTTACCTCATCAATGTTAAAAGGCTCATTAATAACACTATCATTGCTGTTATTAAGTTGGATGTTATTTTCAGCATCTTGTTTAGTCTTGATGAAGGAGGGATTGTAATTACTAGTACTACTTATTTTGGCGAAGATTGAAAAAAAATCAAACAAACAGATTGAAAACCTTGGAGGGGGTGGGTTCCACCCCCTCGAAACCCCCCCCCCCCCCACCCCCGGTGCCACTGATAATTAGTTATCCCACAAGCGCGCTTGGAATATTGGAATATGAAACAATGCAATGCTGCTGTGACCCATATGCCACCCGACGCACTACAATATTCCGTGTTCCACGAGCCATAACGAATTTTTCTTCAAGCAAACTTGACGTCGAATGCGTACATTGTACGTGGTGAGGGATGTAGGTGCATAGTGTATCGGACCGTTCAGCAGCAAATAAAAAGAACACAATACATACATGTACATATACATTCGATATCTGGGGTGCAATATAGCTGTGCAATATTATATCAAATCACACTGTCGTTGCTATAGATGGACTAATCAGGGTCTAGGATTCAAGTTTGCTTGAAGATAATACTCAATATCGCAATCAAAGTTACCTTACTCATTCATCACTGCGCTTCTTGAAATTTAATGAGTCTCACAGACTTGGCAATTTTTTCCTTTGAGTCAAATTTCACCTGGATGTGTGTCCGCTGTACTGGGTCTGGATAGAAAGTATAGAGCTGTTGCGTACCCTAAACAGTAACTGCTAATGACAATCGACTCTCAAGCATTCGACGTCAAGTTTGCTTGAAGATAAATTCGTTAGCCCACTTGCGCTTGTGGAACACGGAATAATGTAGTGCGTCGGGTGGCATATGGGTCACAGTAGCATTGCATTGTTTCATATTCCAAGCGCGCTCGTGGGATAACTAATTATCAGTGGCACCAGGGAGGGGGGGGGGGGGCTCAAGGGGCTGGAACCCACCCCTCCCCCCCCCCCCCTCCAAGGTTGCCAATGCCAATTTGTTTGTTTGATTTTTGGGTAATTCTTTTTTTTTTCAATCTTCTACAGAAATTTGAAACCAAACAAATTATGAGGCACCTCCCCCCCCCCACACACACACACACCACCCACCCACACACACACAAAGCAAAATCCTGGGTGGGCCACTGCTGATAATTTATATTATGAGTCTGGTTAGACCTCATCAGCCCTAAACATGAGAAATTCGCAAAGCAAGATTAATTTAAGTAGCTTTAGAAACAGAATAGTAAGTTGTGTGGGTAGATTTCTAATGTAAAGTCTATAAATTGACCCATTTGTAACCCACCAACTGTACAAAAATAGTCATACAGTTGTAAATTTTGAAGACCCCAATTGATTTTTAGTAGATTCTGATAGAGGAAGACATGCTCTATCAAGTCATTTTCATTTCGTTGATTTTTGGAATGATACATTAGTACATAAATTGGGTCAAAGGTCACGATAACATATTAAAAGTCAAGTGACCTCCTTTTCACACACAAAATTTAATTTTGACAAAAGAGTTCATTTGAGCATGCAATTCTTATTATTTTAATACCAAATTCGCATATATTCGATGAAAATTGACATGGTTTTGACATATTTCTATCAAAAGGGTGGTATTTAACTCAAAAATGTCAATTTTTCATGGTTTCTGCCCTGATTACATGGTCAAGGGCGGATCCAGAACACAATATTCGGGGGGGCCCAAAAAAAAAATTGGTCCCCCAAAAAAGTGGGTCAAAAAAATTACGGCGTGGGGTTCGGGGCCCGCTTTGGGCCCCGAAAAAATTTTGGATTCTAGATGCTCTGTGGTGCGATCTGAGGCAATTTCTGACCACTTTTAACCAATGTTTTTTTGAGGAAAAGATGGTGGTGTACTCATTGCCTGCCTTTATTGCGATGTTACATACAAATAAAAAAAAAATTGGTTTTGTTTTTTTTGGGGGGGGGCATGGCCCCCTTTGCCCCCCCCCCCCCCCCCCCCCCCCCCGGATCCGCCCTTGCACATGGTAGGTCGGATCGGGCTAAAAATTGGTGTGCATTCATTGCTCATCAGGACCTACAAGCACAGCAATTTTTATCAAAATCGGATGACATGAGGTAAAAAAGTGCGTTGGTCTGACATGGAATGACCCCTATGCAACTGCTCGCGCAGGGTCGTTATTATTGTTTCAAACGTCGAACCTAATATATTGTATTATAATGAAATGTCTTCGAAATATGTTTGATCGACGCGATTCTCTGCAGCGGCAGTTAAAGTGAATGCTCACTGTCTTAAAGCCGCGGCCGAAAACGAAGTCGATGGGATAGGGTGTTATTTGATAAAAGAAAGCGAGAAGGGGCCATATTATTTTTGTTTTTCATTCCAATAGGAAAAGGATGACCCAGAGGCCCATGGTACACTATGTCTACTTTTATAATAGAGGGTCTCCTTTAATTTTTTTTTAACGTCTCTTGCTGCCATGAAGTTGTCGTTTGTATGCATGACATCTGTACTCTGTTCATCTTGCTACTGAGTGTTCAGGAGTCTGCACCGCCCATTACTTGCTTCAATCTGGTTTCCGGCAAAACATCTGCCACTAGTCGGCCCCCAGACCAGCCTACGTGAGTTGGGGGTAGGTAGTGAAACACCAAACTAATCCTGAAAAGAAGAAATTAATAAAAGTGCAGTCATTAATAATTGGTCAATTTTTTTTCAATGAGGGCGCTTCTATAGTTCGGCAGATCTAGATGCAGAGAATCTTACCGGTCTTCACGGATGCCGAGTTCCTTAGTTGAACACTGGATGAGGGCCTCGCAGATCTGTTTGTTGGTGTCACCATCAGTGAATCCTCCGTGAAGTTGAATCAACATGAGGGGAGCTGAGGCCGGTCCAGCACCCATGAACATCCTCACTCCTGCTTGGACACGCACTGTAGCCGCCTTGGTGGATCAAGAAATACAAAATATAAAACAATAGAATGGTCATACACGTACACTGAACCTTGTGTAAATTAACAGCTGCAGCTTTTTGACATATCAAAGTATTTTGGCTCTAAATTACAGTTTTATCTCATAATTTGATGGCTTTTAGAAAAATAGACTCCTTGCATTTGACGTCACATTGGAGGACTGCTATTGTGTCTGATAATATCAGTATATTATACGCATGGATAGGCAGTCACTCTACATAGTGTTTCTCTTCATTCTGCCACACATAAACGTAACCCCAAAATGCCTCTAAACCTGTTTTCCAGAAATGGGGAAACACTGTGTAGACGTGGGCAAGTCCACGCAACGTCGCTGCTATTTATGTGGACCTCTTTTGTTCGGAAGTCCACACAGCGTATGTAATGCTTGTACACACATTTTCTCCATAATGTAAGACATTATGGTGCATTTTTGAATTCTTCATCATAGTCGGAAACAATTATGGTTAGTAAACAACTCGGGGGCTTTCAGGAAAGTGGGTGGGGTGGGCTGAGGTGGGCTGGGGTGGGGCGGGGTGGGTGGGGTGGGGTGATATGAATGGGGGGGGTCGATTGAAGGCGTACCCCCGTGCCCTGCTATATCCGGGGCATGCCCCAGCCTTGTGCGATGCTTTCTCTTGTATTCTAAGGCTATTTTAAGATAAAATTTAGGAACCGGTTTATCATTCCATTTGTTATTTTTGGCCCCTTTTTACTAGTATAACATATATTCAGCGGCTAAACGTGGTGGGGGGTGCAAGCCCCTCCTCGATCTACATCATCACTGTAACCACACTGTAAAAAAAATGATGGGTAAAAACACTGTTGGGCAACATAATTTTATCCAACATTGGTTTGAAATTACCTAATTTGAGTAAACATTTTCCAACTATTGGGAAGAATTTGCCCAAGAGTTTAACCTGTTGATATGCTGACCAGTTGGTCTGCATATCAACCCATTTTGTCTGTTGTTACAGTGTAGACAGTAGCCGACTCGCTCCGCTGCGCGCGGTGCGAGCAAGCCTATAATTTTCAGATTACTGCGTGCAGTTTCGACTGCGATCCCGTCTTACCTTTCCAGAGGTGTGGTGTGATATAATTTGTCCTAATTGAAGCACAAACTCCTTACTAATATCTCCATTGTCGATGTTGGTTTGTATGTCACACAGCGGCATATTACACCCGAGTTGCATCTAATTAATCGCCGATTAATTAAACTTCGATTTTCAACTTTGAAGACGGTCTGTACGGTTTCAGTTTGTGACTAGAAAGAAAAACACGTTATGATAATCACCCGGCCTCAGTAACACTTTGTAGCGTAAGAAAACATCGTAAAGATAACAAAAAGGAAATGCAAGGCTAAATTTCAATTCTGCTGGTTATAAACAAACACGAGCCCGATCGGGATGGCCGTTATCATCAATAATCAGTCGGGAAGCGAGTTGGGTGGGCGGGTCCGGCAGTGTAGCAGTGAACCTGCACTTGGACCATCATTTATAACAATTAAAGGTATGCACCATCTTATTCAAAAAAGTTACTCAAGCTATCAGGTGCTCACTACTTTAACCCCCAAAAAGTGAAAACTATGACATGGCTTAGTACGTTACATTTGTATCTGATTAGGACTGTCAATATTTTTTATTAGTAATTTGATGAGCCTCTAAACTAAGGCAAAGTAAAAAATAGTGCTAGTTGATCATCCCCGCCTTTTTTAAATTTAAGGCAACAGGTTTTTTTTATTAAAAGATGTTTCAGAAGTTCAGATGCTTCTGAATAGCTTTACTGAATGTTCAAGTTGTGAGCAGACATTTACTAGAACTATAAAATATAAAGGGCCTCCTCCTCTTTATGGCACATATCGTGTCAGCTCAATATGAATATTTTTTTTTTTTTGCCTATTTTTTCAATAAAAATAAAAAAATAAAAAGGCCCTCATCCTCCTCTTTTTGAAATGAAACCATCAACTAACGTTTTTTAACAGCGCGGCTGATAATGTTCAGTGTAGACTGTAGTGTTCTCTGATTATCGTAAATTGAATAGAGCGCCCTCAACAGTGGAATTAAGTCTGGTGCCTTGACTTAAGCAGTCCGTTGTCCACATAGTAAAAAATATTGCACCTAGCCATCAAAACAAAATTTGTAAAACCAAGTCGCCAAGAAAATCTTAATTTCTTCACTTTTTCTCGTTTTTCAATGTAATTACATGGTGAGAATAAATTGTGAATGTTTATAGCAACCCATTGTTGTAAAATTCCTAGATATGGCGGCATATATCCGTGTCGTTGAGGACGAGTTGGACCCCGAAGTGATCGAGCTGCCGGTCGAGCCGGATGGCACGATGTTGCTGAGCACGCTGACAGCGCAGTTCCCCTGCGCCTCGGGCCTCAAGTACCGCAACCCCGGTACACGGAGTCTGAGGGGACTACGGGTCGTGGAGGGAAGAATACAACCGCCTGATGATGTGTGGGGAGACCACCTTTATATAGCAGTCTTCCCCAAAGGTAGGACCACCTACTTATCTTCATTTTTTCAACTTGCTTTATTTTTTTCCTTTTATAAATTTATTTTTAAAACCAAAACAGTCAAGACATGAACAGAAATTAAATGTCGTTGAGAAAGGGAACACACCCTAAATGCTACTTTGTTTTATCACAATATAAACCTATCCTTGAAAATGTTTCTCAAGGTAAACGAAATTTAAAAGTCAAGTTAAACATTTGAGAACATGTAAACAAAATACTGATGCCTGAATATTTCTTTGGTTAAGATGAATGATTATGAACATGATGAACAGGGTGGGGACTACTTGTGGAATTAAAAGGCTTCTTTCCGTTAAGTTCTAGAATTAGAAGGCTTCTCTCCATCAGCCTTCTTAGCATGGTGATTTTTTGGGGGTCAGCACGCTATGGTTTTTGGAAATGCCCTTTGCTAAATGAAATACCTTTGTCTGAAATTCCACTTTCTGAAGCACAAATCCACCAAAAAGTTGAACTGGTTGATCTTTAACTCTGAAATGTTTTAGAACGATTGAAATTTGGATCATGGGACAAAAAATTTTGGGTGGAAAATCTGAATCTTTACTCACCAGCCTTGCGTTGCTGATCCAACGAATGCAGCGGTCATGTTCATGTGTACTCCTAGAACTATGAGGCTCCACTATACTATCAAGCGAAATGATAGTATGTGCATGCGTACAAGTACATGTACCATACCCCCCGCAACACGCTCCGAGCGAACCGAAAATCATCGCTCGATCATATGCATGCACGTTTCAAGTGTCAGGTTGGCTCAGTGCGGAAAGGGCATATTTTTCATCATTTTGGCCTAAAAACCGACAGAATCCACCTATGTTAGTTCTGCACATGATACGTGAGTATGTCGAGAGATAAAGTACGGAGTATAGTGGCAAACTGTGCAGCGGTTCTGTGTGAAATGTCTCCATTTTGATGGACGTTTTTGTACTTTATTAGTGTTTTGTGCTGCAGGCAATTTTGTGGGCTTCTTGATCTATGAGGCTCCACTACGTGGAGCCTCATAGTTCTAGGACTAGGAGTAGTTCATGTGTGTGTTTAAGTACGTTGCGCTGATCTTCGCGTGACCTCAGCAGGTCAACTCTACATTCGGCTCGACCATTCCGGATAGAGGGGAGATTGTATACTTTGCATCGCGAAACAGTACCTGTATGTACATCATGATGTATGTCATTTTGGCGCGCTGAATACGCTGCGCTGTGTCATTACAAGTTGTCAGTTTGGGTGGACTATGTCACACCTGTATACAAACAAGCACTTTTGCCAAAAATAGGCCTATCTCATAATAAGAGAGTGTGTGTTGCATTTATTCTGAATACTGACTTTGTTTTTTTTCTGGTATTCACAGACAACAAGCGCAAAGGCGATGACAGCAGTGAGAACAACTCAGCTAAAACCCGCCGCGTAGAGAATAAAACAGTGGACTTGATAGTGCTCGGGTTGGCTTGGAAGACAACGGTAGCCAGCATGAGGGAATACTTTGAGAAGAATTTCGGTGAAGTTCTCATGTGTGAGGTATGTGCATGTTGTGTGGACACACGTATACATTCATAGCCTATTGCCGGTGTAGTCACTTGGGGGTTACTTGCTGCACATGCTCAGTGTGAGACATCCACTAGTCTTCGCATGTTACCAACATACTCTGGCGCTATGGTGGCATAAAATGTCCAAAATTTCCCTTATGTGAGTTTTCCCAAAGTTAAACCCCGAAAAGATATACTCAAAATAAGATTCCAATAAAACTCACCATATAATCAACTGGGCTACATTTTTTCAAAGGAATATTCGTTGCTTTCTATTTGCCATGAAAATTGAACCCGAATCATACTGATAAAGAGCAAATCAATAATTGTGAATAAAAAAAATGTAGCTATCTATTTACCAACTGGACAGGAATTTTGACATTGCTGGCTTCACTTCCATAGGTCTCACTTATTCCTAAAAACTCAAATTTTTAAGGAAAACAAAATAAACATCTTAATCAACGAAAATCACTGCTTGCGAAAAGACTACTACATCATTTGAATACGGAGCATCAATAGACCTATTGAAACAAAAATTAGAGTAAGAAAAGACTGATTATGTCATGCCGCATTTAAGCCTTATTAAGGGTCAAAGGCTGATGGCGCCGAGTGGGATACCTGGGCACAATGAGACAAACTAAGTGGAAGGCACAAACATACCTGGGAAAGGTTGACATGATGATGGTCTGTGGGTTATGTCAGGGTTAGGCAACTCCTAATCCTGGTCCCAAAGTGACATACTTTTTAATACCACTCTTGCTTAACCTTCCTGCTTCTAAGCAGTCACAGACAGTCGAAAATTCACTTTCACTTCCATACGTTTTAACAAAAGCTAGTCACCAGCAGTCAGATCATATGTCATTGTCATGCAAGCACTGTGACTAGTCAAACTGGGACAAAGCAGGCAAGTTGGGGCCGTATCATAAGTCCGACGCGTCATAGGTCCGACACCTGTTTCGAACTTATTAGGCATCGGAACTTATGAGGCTTACAATTGAATTATTCGGCCTCATTGTTCCGACACCTAATAAGTCCGAAGCCTTGTAAGACCCCGTTCCCACTTGATCCACCAATTGGGGGATCTGATCCACCTTTTGCCAAATTGCCGGATCAGATCCCCCAATTGGTGGATCAGATCCAGCAATTGTGTGTAGTGGGAACGCTAACCGTTATAAGGTGGATCAGGATCAGATCCACCTTTTCTGATCCACCTCTGGACCAGGATACAGATCCCCCAATTGGTGGATCAGATCCGGCAATTGCCGGATCACGATCAGATGGGAACGCAAAAGGTGGATCTGATCCGGCAATTTGACCTGTTAACATCCGCCCGGTGCACGAGTGGCGCGAAAATGTTGCGGTCTCATGAACGAAGAAACACGTTTACAGGCGTGTAGCTCATGTGAACATTTCCAGCGTATACAACATGCACAATAAACAACCGCTGAACTACGGGCTAGCACCGCGCATGCAAAAGCGCACGTGGTATCCTAAAACTACACTATAGGCCTTATTTTTGTTGCGTGTTAGTCCATTACTAAACCTTTTTCATTCCTGAAATTTTACTTATTTTTCCATCCATAAATGACTCTGAGTCCGCACTCACCAAAAGACTTCACTTTGGCACAGAATCATGGAAAAGCTTACGAGTATGCGATGAGAATAGTGCCGATAACGCGGTACGTACGGAGGTGACAAATCTGAAGTATTGATTATAGAAAATTGGAAAATGATGTCGTAGTACATCATGTGACCGTTTCTTACCAATGAGAAGCTTCAGAACCAGGGAATCCCTTATCGATGCATTGGTTTCTGCCGTGATGTCACACAATGAGCGGCTCTGTTGGATTTCACCTGTTAATTTATGCACGCACGGATCTTCTATTCTACAGGTCCGTGATTTATGTTGGTGAATTCACGTAATTTTTGTCTGTGAATTCTGATAGTGCTGTTTGAAAACTGACCCATCCTGGCCTAGCATGCAACCATGCAACAATGGCACTCCCACAGAGCGCGCGTAATTCCGAACTCAGTGACCTTTCGGACCCAACATTTCCGTACGAAAAGGTGGATCAAGCATAAGTGGGAACGCGTCTTGCGGTTTCGTTGCGGTAAGATAACAATCACACTAAAATGCCGGATCTTGATCCACCTTTTTCCAATTCAAGTGGGAACGCGGTGTATGTCCGACGTCGGAAAAAGGGGGGTATGAAGTGTCGGAGCTACATGTATGAGGTGTCGGAGCTATGAGGCGTCGGAGCTATGAGGCGTCGGAGCTATGAGGCGTCGGAGCTATGAGGCGTCGGACTAATGAGCGGACCCCTGCAAGTTGTGGTCACAGCTGTTTTATCATTCACCTGGAGTCAAGCATAGCTGTATCAAGTTATTAATAAATAGTCCGAGCTAGTCAATCCTGCTTTTATGGAATTCTTAACTGTTGAAAACAATCACTTGTTTGATTTTGACTGAAAGGACCACTTGGCACAGAATGAATGTTTGGGTTGATGCAACATTGTTTTAGCTGGCAAAATGTAAAGCCTGCTGACTCTGTTCATGAACACTAGGCCTAAAGCTACATTTTTTGTACACGACAGTCTTCTAAACAATCCTTCAAATTTTTTCAGAACCTCATTTGAGGTAATCTTCTATGGAGCTTGGATAAAGCCTACAGCACAGATTTCCAATTTTACTGGTACACTGCTCATTAGGCCACCGCACATACAGATCGAAAATGTGTGTGCTGAAAAATCAGACTGATTTGACCACACACTGGGCGACCTGATGAAATCAAACATGTTTGATTCTTTCGCATCTGATTTCACCAGAAAGGTGTGCGGGCAGCACTCAGATTTTTATCTTAGCAATTCAGATAAATTTACGAAGGCATTCACATGATTCACAATTGATGGCTGCCATTTTGTCATCACGTGACTGATCATCATGTGACCGATTATAGAATAGAATCGAGCATGTGTGCGGGTAGCGTTGCAGTCTCCGCAATGGTTAAAAAATAAAAGTATTGGTGATCCGGTAAAATGGGAAAAGGTGTGTGGCGGACTTAACACTTCCTGCACAAATTCTGTAGAGCTAAGCTCAGCCCAATCAGGCAGATTGGGTCACGCTTCACTGCTCTCCACAGTGCTATTTTTTCTTGTTCAGTAACTCTCTGTGTGACAAAGTTACTTCCTAACCTTCTAAATCCTCTTTGCAAATTGGAGGATTTTGCAGGATTGAGACTATATTGCAAAAGTGTATGGCTGATTTTGGAGGATGCACTGTGTCAAGGTCTTGGGCCGGACCATTTTTTGTTTATGCTCAACCGTGCATACATTTAAACTTAGATTATACTTGAAATCCTCCACATACAGTGTGTCAGATTTGAACCTGGGTAGACGCATTGATTCAAAACAACTTTTCATTGAAGATTTTTTTTTTCTTGTTTCAGATCAAGAAGAATCTGGAGAACCAATCCAAAGGTTTTGGTTTTGTGAGATTCAAGGATTACAAAGTGCAAAGCTCAGTGGTATCACAGAGGCACAACATTGATGGTAGATACTGTGACGTCAAAATACCAGACTCGAAGGTAAGAACCAGAGTATCTTCATTGATGAGAGTCTTCCTAATAGAACAATCCTTGTCTTCATTTTAACAATTATTCTAATAGCATGGTCACTTTTACCATCGTCACTACCATCGACTCAGACAACGCTATCATTCAACCCAATCGATATCACCCCTTCACCACCATCACAACTATCACCCAGTCATCATCTCTTTGATCACCATTGCAGAAACATGTATCATCGCAGTCATTATTATACAACACCTGAATAAATCCCCGTCATCTGATTGGTGGGTCGTTGATAACATGTCATGAATTATTCGTCCCAACGCACAGCGCGCGCGCGGCGCTCGGCGCACAGTGCAATGGAAGTTCTATTGCACTGTGAATAGAACTTCCATTGCACGGTTTGACTGCTGCCGGTGGTGGCGCTGTGGAACAGCTTTAAAACTTGCATAAATTGGATATAAAAGTTCTGAACTTGTTGCACTGTTTGAGTTCTAAACTTGTGGAACAGCTTTTAACTTGCCATGCATAAATTGGTAATAAAAGTTACGCACTTGTTGAACTGTTTGAGTTCTAAACTTGTGGAACAGTTTTAAATCGAGATCAATTGAATATGATAGTTTCAACCTGTTGAACAGTTTACATAAATTAAATATGATGGCTCGGAACTTGTCAAACTTTTAAACAGTTTTAAACTTGAATAAATTGGCTATCCAAAGTCAGCCAATCAGATGACGGGGATTTATTCAGGTGTTATATTAAACAAATAATGAATGTTTCACGTTTGTGCAATGGAAAGAATAATTTCATTCGGTGACAGATGCAATTATTCTTACCATTGCACTCACAAACATTCACTGTTTGTATACCATCGTAACCACTATCACAACAATTAGCCAAATCATTATCATCACCAAGATCACCACCATCACAACAATCACCATAATCATCTAGGGCTGTCCATTTTCGAATAATTTAGTATTCAATTATTCAAAACTGTGTTGGACCGAATACCCGAATATTTGAAACTCAGCTCTCAAATTTACACATGCCAGCTGCAGCTGCAGGCGGCACCTGTCAAAAGCTGCACGCAAAGCACATCGGTTAAAATTTGGGCAGGGTCTGATCCATGTTTTGGGCTGCAGGAGTGTTTTGCAGTCAGTATGTTATAACTGTCAGTGGCTTTAACCTGCTAAAAGGATAAGTGCAATGAACCGCCATCGACCAAAAAAGTTACTGTCAACAAAATGTGGCATCTGACAATAAAGTGATTAAAATAACATTTCAGTCATGTGTTTACATACATGTACATGTGTAGTTTTTTTAATGTTTTGAATATTCGAACCAGCAAAGCTATCTCAATACTCAGTTGATGATTTAATATTTGAATATTCGATATATTCCGGACAGCCCTATTATTATCATCAAAACTTTAAGCCATTATCATCTCAATAATCACCACCATAATCACCACCTTCACAAGGATCATCTCAATCACTGACATTAACTCATCCATACGGTAGCTACTTTCACCTCAATTGTCATCATGATAATCACCATAGCAATTATCACCCAAATTATTATAAATATCATCAGCTGCACAATCACAATTATCTGTCAAATCATCATCACCATGATCACTACCACAACAACTATCACCCTATTTATCATCGCAGTAATCACCACCATACATGTAGCAACTATCACCCAGATCATTGCAGCTACTTCTCCAATCCTCAAAATCAACAGCATTCATTACCACAATCGTCACCACCAGAATCAATGTACCTCCACTGCCATTCACTCTTCAATTTGGTATAATTGAGTCCATGAGCCTTTTTTCTTTGTTTTAGAATTCCCAAGACTCCAAGAAGATGTTTGTTGGACGCATGCCACAAGACATGACCAAGGAAGACCTGTATAACTACTTCTCTAAATATGGTGAAGTCACAGATGTGTACATCCCAAAGCCGTATCGCTGTTTCGGGTTTGTGACATTCTTAAGGTCTGATGTGGCAACAGTTGTTGCCAGTGAAGACCACATTTACAAGGTAAATTAGTTTTTATTTTTGCTTTTCCTAACTTTGGATATATGTATTGATCTTTTTTAGACTGTAGATATGACATTTACCTTTGAGGAAACACACATTGTGCTTGGGCCAATTTTGTGGATCTGTTGCTGAGCAAAAGCAAATTGCAGAGTTTATTTATTCAATTCTTATTTTAATTGGGTAGCCCATTCAGTGGAATCCACTGATCTCCCATGGGTCCCAGTAAAGAGAAGACAATGTGAAGAAATTACAGTTTTAGAGGTGGGAGGAAAAGCCCAGAAGAGTATTCTGAGGAAAACCCACGGAATCAGGTAGGGACTGAAAACCCAATCCACATATTGACGCAGGCGGGATTCGAACCCCGGTCACAGCGGTGGAAGGCGAGGAAAGTACCGCTACACCAACCTGACTCCCCACATGGAAGTGGAAAGGTTTGCAAAACATAAATTAACCCAAACATTGTACATGTACAAACCTGAAGAATCCATTAACCCTAACTCCCTAGGGTGATTTACTAGGAACCTTCCTCATCCTTGCAAATCCCAACACCATATGGTAAACTGTGCACATCAACAGTTGGACTCTGTTTATGTGTGGTATGCCTAACCCCACATAAAGCACAGTCAGTTTCTAGTGCAGTACTCATCCTAACAGATCCCAACAAACCCTGGTGTTGGAGTTTGGCTGGTTGGGGATCGTTAGGGTTAAACTATGCGGTGCTGGGCGTTTCGGGCAGTAAAGGGAGTAACTGATAAACCAGCCACTATTTCAGGCAATGCGTATTTGCGCATACTGTTTCTCTGCTCATTTTTGCTGAGTGACAAAAATATTCTCAGTAGTATTTTCTGTCATCAGCTGCATGAAGTTGGGCCCTTGTTTAACTCCGTTTTGTTCTGACCCCATTTTTTAATGCGTGTAGGGTACCAGTCTACAAGTGAATCGCGCTGAGCCCAAGAATCCTAAGATCAGAATGCAAGGAGATGACCATTACCCAAGTTATGGGTACGGAGGAGGGGGAGGTAGGTACTCCTTAATACCCAAGCAGCATGGGCTGTGCCCAGGAAATGGGTACATGGAGAAGGGGGTACGTAACACAGTAGATACCAGAGGTGGCAGCAAGTCATTTTTTGCAAGTCCAAGTCAAGTCACAAGTCATTGTTTGCAAGTCCAAGTCAAGTCACAAGTCATTAGGTCCAGTCACAAGTCAAGTCACAAGTCATTAGGTCCAGTCACAAGTCAAGTCACAAGTCATTTGGTCTAAAAACAAGTCAAGTCACAAGTATCTTTGTCCAAGAACACGTCGAGTTCCACATTATTTTGTCCAGCTGTAAAAGCTAAAAGAATTAACCTGGCGTCAACTTACGAGTTATTTTGAACATGCCTCCTTAATTCCCCTTTTTCAATGTGTTGCAATTACTATTCTTGTAGTTTATCACATATCTGTCGGATATTAGCTCTTTGTATACTTTAATAAATTTACCTTACATTGTAGAAATAAATGTTGAGATGACCGTGAAAAAAAGACTCCACTCACTCGATTACATGTAGTATACTAACACTTTATTGTTCAATTTTCATGTATACTAAACGCCTACCAATGGGTTAGGCTATCCGGTATTTTACATGCAATTGACAAAGGCCTGCTTTCTTTTCATGAAAGGGTTTCCTTTCAAAGTTTGTTCAACCAATACATTAAGCAAGAGACAATTGGTCATTGAAAACTGTAGTTTGTTGTGACAGTCTTATTGAAAACTTTTGAAACTAGTGGGAACTATTCATTTTACTGGATTCAGTCACTGAGGTCTATTTTCTGGAATGAAAAAGCTAATTAAAAGTATAATAGCTTAATTAAAGTGTATTGGGTCGCTCGAGTAGCGTCTGACTTGGGTTGGTAACAAGTCATTTTTTGCAATCCCAAGTCAAGTCACAAGTCATTGTTTGCAAGTCCAAGTCAAGTCACAAGTCAAAGCTGGTATTTACAAGTCAAGTCACAAGTCACAAAAATAGCGACTCGAGTCCGACTCGAGTCCAAGTCACATGACTCGAGTCAGCAACTCTGGTAGATACTCATTAATACCCAAGTAGCATGGGTTATACCCAGGACTTGGACATGGAGGAGGGGGAGATAGGTAATCCAGTAGATACTCCTGAATACCCAAGCAACATCAGCTTTACCCAGGAAATGGGTACGGAAAAGAGGGGGTAGGTAACCCAGTACATGCAGGTACTTGTCAATACCCCAAGCAACATGGGCGATACTGAAGACATGGGTATGGGAAGAGGAGGCAGTTAACCCAGTAGTACTTTTTAATATCTAAACAGCATGGGGTGTACCCAGGTCATGGGGGAGGGGTGGGGCTAATGGTTCTGTTTGTGACACATAGTCAGAGGTTCAGGGATGCAAATCCAGCCGCTGACCGTATGTTGTGTCCTTGGGCAAGCTACATTACCCCAGTTGTTCTCGTTATCCAGGATTATTAAATAGTTTCCATTTGAGCTTGGGACTTATATTAACTTGAGACTGACCTCACTTACTACTAAAACCCCAACAGGGCGGTGGACTTGGGAAGGTTCATTGCAAAAATTTCAAGGAAAATAGGACTGATCTCAGATTTCTGTCTCTTTTCCCTTCAAGGATATTCGGACCAAGGCAGATACTACTCCCGAGGGGACTACCCCCAGAGTGGGCGGGGCCGAGGACGGGGAGGTGGCAAGATTGTCCCACGAGGCGGAGACGGGTACCGGGACCGAGACCAAGGTAGTATAGGGGGACCAGGGAACCAGGTCAATACGTCCAATGTTGGCGGGGGTATGGGAGGAGGCATGGGTGGGGGCATGGGTGGGGGTATGGGTGGCGGCATGGGGGGTGGTATGGGGGGTAACCCAGGCGGGCAAGGTCCAGGACAAATGGGCAACTTTCCGTGGAATCAGGCAATGTTGGCTGCGCTGAGCCAGGCAGGCTGGGGCATGATGAGCAATATGCTGGCGCAGGGTATGCAGCAAGGCATGCAGCAGCAACAGCAGCAGCAGCAGCAGCAACAGCAGCAGGGGAACCAGCCCCCGCAGCAGCAGCCGCAGCAGCAGTCACAGCCATCTCAGGGTTCCTTGTCGCAAGGCAGTCAGTCCTCGCAAGTGTCAAATCAAGTGATGCAGACACCAAACAGTAGCGGCGGGTACGGGTCCGGGCAGCAATCCTTAGGATGGGGGTCTAGTCAGTCTAGCGTAGGGGAGACGGGAAGTCCTGGTTACTTAATGGGGGAAAGTAAGAGTGGAGGCAGTGGGTGGTAGAGAGGTACCAGAAGTCATGGTCCAAGACTGGATTTGGATTCTGTTTCTCTGAATGCTGCTGGTCAGATCCTTGGCAAGCATGGTAAAGTTTGTGCGGTGGCAGAGGACAAAGTCTTGGAAACTTTGGCACCGGGAACCAAACAAATTGTGAGCATACCTCATGCACACATTAGATTAACCCTAACCTCCCTTGCATTTTTGTTAGGATGCAACCTCAATTCCTGCAAAATCCTCCAAGTTCCTCCATGCAAAATTGCATACAGCCTCAATCCTCCAATATCATACATTATTTCTGGAATGTTGTCCTTGGAGGGGTGACCACAGCTTCAATGCTGCCAAATCCTCCAGCAATCACTGTCAATGTGTTTTAGCAGGGCCAGTGACATCCCGGAGCAGTGCGGAGGATCTCAAGTATAATATAGGCCTAAATTTATACACAGCTGAGCATAAACAACACAAAGTCCGGCCTAAGACCTTGATACAGTGCATCCTCCAAAATCAGCCATACATTTTTGCCACTGTGCAAAGAGGATTACGGAGCATTTGGGAAGGTTAGGGTTAAATACAGGCGACTCTCATTATAACGAGGTCGATGGGACTAGCCAAATTACCTCTTTATAACAGAAATGTTGTTATAAAAGGACAGCGAAACAAAGAAACACAAAGAGAACCTGAGATTTGGGACCTAAGAATTTGCTCTTTATAAGCAGAACCTCTTTATAAAAGTGCTCTTTATAATGTATATGGCATGTAAGGTATGCTGTGAATTTCGTGGGTGCGGGTGCCAAAGTTCCCAAGACTGAATGTGATTCCTCTAGTTACTTTCTACTGCCACGTAGGCTTAACCAAATTGGTCAGGGTCCTGCAGCATTAGGGGAATCAAATCCAAAGCGGTCTGAAACCAAGACTACTTGTATGAACGATCCCAAAAAGACAACTCGGAAGACTTTTCCCATATGCATCTTGCCATCTTACTTTGGTGCTTTGTGCTATTAGTTAATTCGCGATTAAACACACACTCAGGTTAGTGATCTCTATTGAATTCAATGAAGTTCTTGTAAAGCATGTAGCACAACTAATTTTGAAATGTAATATTAATATGATCGCTGAATTTTGAAGGTCGGAATGTACCTTGAAACAGCCCCTTCACTGTACGTGTCAAATGACAGCAAAGGCACCATTCTATTTTGATATCGCTGGGCAGTGTAACACTCAAAACTACATTGTTGTAAATACAATTGTAAATATTATCAATGTTTGGCAAAAAGTAGCGTTTCATCTTTCATGGCATTTTAATTGCTGGAGATAAGGGTGGGAGTGGAAGGGGAAAGGAGTGGGGGGGTTTGAGGGAAACTGAAGGGGGTTAAATTGGGGTTAATAGGCTTTATTCATGAGTCGGCCATATTAAATTGAAAGCGAGGAAAAATTTTCATTTTTGGAACTTGCGAATAGAAATCAAAGTAATGAAATACAGTTAATTACAAATTAATACCAGTCTACTCTGGTGAATAATAAAAAATTTGTGATTAATAATACGCTAATGTTTTTAAGCCACATTTTAAAAAAATATTCAAAGCGAGGCTTGGACCGCATAAATAGTCTGGCACCATTCCATTCAACCGGGCCTATTAACACATGCGCGATACGACTGTGTCGCGCAGTAATGTCACGAACAAATGAGTGATAAGTTGCGCGATTTTTGCAATTAGCATGATACGTAGCACGACTTCATCGCATAGATGTAAAGGTGCTCTTCGATTTGCGCGTGTATATGAATACGCGTGACATTAACACGCGACAAAATTGCGTATGTGAAAATAAGGTTCTGGGAACACGATCAAAAATGCATGGCTTCCTTCTGAATAAGGTCTATTAGAGCAGGGACTGTGGGTTGGGTAGTGGTGTTCTGTGGAGAGGGATTCTGCGCACTGGATTGGGGTGGGTTTGCGGCAATGCATGTATTTAATGTCTTGTGGTCAGTACCGTGTTACACGCGTTAATCTTTACATAACATAAATTATGCCGTCTAATTACGTATTTGTTCTGTAGAAATGTGTGCTATCAAGGAATGCAGTACCTGTACGTGTTTTGCTATAACTGTATAAAGGGATGGCAGAAATCATTTGCAGAAAGTGGAATGGATGATAGGAGTACTCTAGAAAGTGAGAAACAACCAGTAAGAGGTCTGATAAAAACAGTGACAGGAATAAAAGGAAGTTAAGAGGGCTAATGAAAAGGCAACCAGAGAGACGTGGCATATTTCAAATGATCTTCCCACTAACTCTTGTATTGTAAAGGACTGGAATGTACATTGGTGTATGTATGAGGAACATAGATTGTGATCTGTTAAGAGCTAATGGATTGAAGATTGACTAGCAGATGTATTGATGAGGAATTGCATTCATGTAACTTCTTGTAAGTAATGGGAAAAAATGTAATGGGCAATTCCACGGTTACTCGCGTTACATTTTTGATGTGCTTTTGAGTTTCCTTGGGCTGTAATTACCTTACTGAAAAGGTTTAAGAGCTGTTATATCCCCATGATAGATAGAGTAGACCTAGACCTATCTAAGCACCAAAGATGACATCCAGAAAAATGTGTTATGTATGATAAACAAGACGCTGGAAATCGGTTACTCACGTTACATTTTCATAACGTGAGTAACCGATTTTGTGCGTCTTGTTTATCATAGATAACACATCTGGATGTCATCTTTGGTGCTGAGGTAGGTCTAGGTCTACTCTATCTACCATGGGGATAACAGTTATTAAACCTTTTCAGTAAGGTAATTACAGCCCAAGGAATCTCAAAAGTACATCAAAAATGTAACGTGAGTAACCGTGGAATTGCCCTAATGCAGATTCAAGGAACTGAAAGTTATCCGGAATCAAGGTGCTGAATGTTTCACTTGAAATGATGGGACAATGGGAATGCCTTGAAAGCGAGAGCCAAGCTGTCATGCCAGAATTTTATATGTGAAGATTGTCAGTTTTACATGTACATGTATCTTGGCACTGAGTGCAAAGTGGTATTATGCATAACACTGTGGGATTATGTAGTTTGTGGAATGATCATTGCTGGATGATTTCAGTGAAGTTCACTTCCAGAGAAAGAATCTCGCTCGGACAGAACCTTCTAGCCAGGGAAGTGAATAAATGGTTGTGTATGCTCATCAAGTATTATATACACGTAAGCTGTGAAAACTGTTGTGTCCAAAAACTAATGAAAGAATGTGACTTAAAAGGCGGTAACATCAAGATTCAACCCATTGTTACCGCTTGTTTAATTTTCCCTGTTGTACATGTGTTTGTAGTGTGTGTTAGTTTAAGCCTTTTCATCATTTCTGTCTGGAAGCTGTAAAAAGAGAAAGATTCAGCACTGTTCACTCAAAAAAGGATGTATCAAATGAGTGTAAAAAGGCCCTTAACCCTATTAGGACCGGCGTATTTAGGGTCTCTTGGAAGGGGAGGGAGCACAATGTACACATCTTAAGTTTGATATGCTTCAGCCAATTTTCCTAAAATTTAACAGGAATGTTGCCTAGCCAGTACGTCAATTGATTGTGCTGCAGCGATGAGCCTAGAGCATTTGAAAGCTATTACAAAAAGTTTCGGAGGAGGCACATCATGCTCCCCCCCCCCCCACCACCACCACCTCCCCTCCCCTCTCCACCATCACCGCCAACCCCCTCCACCACCCCCACTGCCACCCCCCTCCATTACCACAACCCCCCCCAACACCACCTCCCCCCCCCCCCCACCACCACCACTTCCCCCTCCCCCACCACCACCACCACCCCCCCCCCCTTTTCCCTCCGTGGTTCTGATAGGGTTCTTATGCAGCTGTCATAAGTGTAGATAGTGTAGCATTCTGAGGGTTGGTGCTTTTAATAGTTCCTGATCAGTGAGAGACCATGCGCAAAATTTAACGAATCATGATATTTCATTTTCAACAGCCACTGCCTCACGTACATGTATGTATGGAAATGGACGTTGCCTTTATTTGACCTGTTGAAAACAATAGGATAGTTTTCGAAAGAGGGTGAAAAAGAAATCTAGTGTATGTTTATGCTCAGCCTGTGTCTCATCAAAGGTATTTCCGTATACACTGAAAGTATCTGTAAAGGGATGTGAGCTGGAATTTGCCAATACGCTGCCGAAGACGCGACGTCACACATACACCGGTCTAATCGGTGCAACCATAATTCAACGCGCATTGCAATGGCCCACGTGAACACAGTGTTTCGCTATGGCGGTTGTAAACCCAGGTTTTATGATTGTTTTGAATGACCTCTGGGATAAGAAACTAAGTTCAACTGTGGTTTTAACTTGTGCGTTGGCAGTCTGCTGCAATGTGCTTAACCATTTTCAGGTACTAATTTGAGAAAGTGATAGTGTGTGTTAAACTGTTTGGTCTAGAAACTTGGGGATTGTTGAATCGATATTGCCCTACTATCCAGCTGTTTAACCATGTAAAAATGTTCCTGGAAAATCTGACTTCTAGATAGATTTATGGCTGGTCATTCTGGCCCGGGCAGGAGCGTGATACACACAGGCTTTTGTACACACATCAGAAACTATTCAGGCAAAAAATTAATTTACATTATATTTTTATCTCCAAAACTGTCGTGTATGTATTGATATTTGTTTTTTCAAGATCGCTTACTGACTGATATTTGAAAGAAAAATAAAGATGCAAATTCAAGCCAATATTCCTCAGCTCACGGGAGCTCTCAAATCATGCATGTAAAGAGGCTGTCCACAAACGTGGCACTTGACAAACAATAAAACCGTTTGTCTGTAATACACAAGCAAAATTACATCACTAACATTTTATTATCAGCTTCTCGAGACAGCTCACATTTTTATCAAATAAATGCTAATTCAGTTATTCGGTGGATGATCCAGTACACTGGGGTACTCAGTATATTTGGCACAGCCCTAGCGTGAACCGTTGTTGAGGACATGAGCCTGACGCTTCGGCAGGGTATGGATTTGTGCACTGGAGATTTTTTGCCTCGTTTGAGTATTCTCCCCCAAAAAACTTGCTCAGCCTTAAAAGTCTGTGTTGTGTACACAATGTACTAGAAACTGCCATTTTAAATCAAAAGGCTGTGGATGAGTTTGTCAGAATTGTAGTTGATGTGTTAGTAAAGCCTGCTTGCAATAGTGAGAAGCATCCGTAAGAATGTATTTCAATTTTCGCCTCAGTGTTAACATGTCTGAACTAGAATGCCATGCTGTCAATGTGGATGACCAATAAAATCAGTGCGACGCTGTCATGTGACCATGCATTACTGCGAGTTTGTGTTATTAGTGTGCGATTCAGTATTTTCTGGTTTTGAGGTGATGTCCAATGTGGTAAAGAAATAAAGGATTTTGGATTTGAGGTTAGGTGTGAAGGAGCTTCGATGACGGATTAGAGTGAAGAACTGCATGAGCATCAAGTGAGTATTCAAGGGTTGGAGCTGTGGGATTCTGCGAGCAACGTTTCAGTTTACGGTGTTTTTGCCATACTCAAAAGGAGTGAAAAAATTGGATTTTAGTCTTGATATACAATGTACAAGATGTGGAATTGCTTTAATTGTTGGTGATTTGGTTTTAACTTTGAAATATAAGCTTTTGTTTTCAGGTAGCAGACGACAGGTAAGTTCATTTCTCTGTGTTTGTCTTTATTAAATAAATGTTATATATTTATATTTTATGTATTTATATTTTATGTGAAATTTTCATTGTAATATTTCTCATTTCTCAGAAAAGTTGAGGACTGTCCATTTTCTTCAAAGAATAATGAATTTTAATACTGATGGTATTGTATGTGATGTAGTCTTCATATAAGAAATGCCCTTTTTCTAAATATTTTATTGAATGGAAAACTGAACAGAGAAAGTTGGAAGACAGTTTTCCTACTGTATGCCAAAAAAAAGTGTGAGAAAATTGTTGGATGAAAAAATGGAAATTCTGTACAGTAAACTCTTTTCTGCTCAAAAGTCTTAAAAGTGAGTTTTATGTGATGTTCATGGCAAAACTAGGCTGTTCTTGGAATCGTTGAAATAACATCATTTAACTGCAGCCCACAAATTTTAAGAACTCATTCATAATGTCAAATGTCAGATTTTACCATGTCTTCTCTGTATGATTGTGTAATCAAACTTATAATGTCATAACTTTAATTTACAACAAAAGAGTGAAGTATACAATTGTTAGCTGGGAAGTTCCTGGTTTTGGCATGGACTGGCAAATTTTGCAGTCAATTTCCTTTTCTTTTTCTGTTTGATAAGACTGGCAGGTCTCATTTTAAATGAAGAATAAAAAAAAAAAGAATCAAAATTGAAGGAAATTGTTTTTGTTTTTATTTATTCTCAAAGTCAGAATGTTTGAACCTGTTTTGTCATGCTATAGACCTAATGTACTATTAAGTCAGATGAAATCGGATTAAAGTTCTCTTCCCATTCTCTTCAACATATTTTCCCCAACAACTTTTCAATTTTTTATGTATTATATGGAAAAAACTACTTTTTGTGTCACCTTAATAAAGGGGTTTTTTTTGGGGAGGGGGGGGGGACATCAGTCCTAAATTCTATATGACCGTATCTCTTACGTGTGCTTACCATGGACCACTTGCGGGGGAGTCGAACAAAGGTAGAGGTACCCCGCAAGTGAAATCTTTAGATATGGGGACAAAAGGACAACATGCTCTTGCCACGAAATTGTCCATCTGCTGGGATGTCCGTGAAACTTGGATGCAGTGACCCTTGGGTGCACGGTGTGAAGACACAATCGGATAGCAGAGGTCAAATGTCACGTGGGGGTCATTGTTCAAATATGCTTCAAACATTTCTACAGAATTCGAAGGATATTAAGGTCACTTGGATGGAGTGATCCTTGGGTGGGGGTTCATGACAACTCTTCCGAAATTGGATGTCAAAGGTCATCCAGGGGTCAATTGAGGTCATTGTTTAAAAATGCTGATAACCCGACTTTTATAAAGAACACAAAACATTAGGGATCTACAACGAAAAAAGGCGACACGTGCGATCCGCGGGATCACTGGTTTCAATTTCTATCTGAAAGTATGTGCTTATTTTGGGGTGCTTTGCGTCCACTAACACGCAGAGAAAGGTATACGTCTGTTGTGCTGCAAATAATTCAAAATGTGTAATGTAAATATCCAAGGCTAAACATAGTGGATTTTTTTTTCAACGTCTCATTCAAAAGGGAATGACTTTTTTTTTTCTATTGCTAGAAAAATGGCAATTTTTAAACAAAATCTACTTGCTTAAGGGAAAGACAAATATAGCATTGGGAGAGCACTGAAAGAGCAACTTTAAATAGAATGGAAGCTCAATCTGTTCAAACTGTTTAATTTGTTCACCAACATGATTCCAAGTACCAAATGCAATAACACTGGTGATGGCGACTTTGTATTTTATTAGATTTACAATTTTTTTCTTCTTGTTGGGGGGGGGGGGGTACTTTTGAAAAATTTTGTTTAAAGGTAATAAATGACATGTACAACATTTGCTTTTGCTATCATTTTCATAAATGGATGGATTTTGGGGTTTAGTGTGTTATAGCAATTATCGTTAAACTGACCCGTTTTAAAGTTTTGTGTTCATGTCAGCTGGAAAAGCCACACAAAAAAATTGTGTTCTTGTAGTCTGGTTCCCTGATTGTACCTCAGACGAAACGGAGCAATTTATAGACAGCGGGGAATTGTCAGGTTAGGGAATCAGACTAGCTGGCTTGCACTCTTTCACGGATGTGTAGCCAATTGCAAACAAAATGTGGACTAACTAAATTTGGTTAATTGGGGGCAGTACTTTTTCCATCAATTGTCACCAGACCATCGTTGGAAATTGATACAAAAATTCCACTGTTCTTGAAAATGACAGCACACCAGGTGCCAGGATTTTCACAGGATGCTTGAGATTCACTTACAGTCAACTAAAGTATTTCATAACAATTTGGTAGTTTTTTGTTTGTTTAATGTTTAAAAATCTTTTACATTAACTTTAACTGTGACCAAGGACATATATCCAGGTTTTGTGTGTGTGGAAAATGCAAAATGTTGCATATAGTGTAACTGGTTGAAAGCACTAGGATGTTGGTAAATGACAGTCAAAAGCATTGTGGCACCTGTATAATTATGGCACATGGTGTCGAGTCATTTTCAAGAAAATGGTATTTTTGTATACATTTCCAACGGTGGTCGGCCGACCACTGTTGGAAAAACCTAACTATTTTTCAATTACTGCTTCAAATTTACACTTTTTTTCAGTCCAAATTTTGTTTGCTACTGGTTACATGTTCATGAACGGGTGCAGGCAAGCTAGACTGGTTCCCTTATCTTACAATTTTCCGACATCTATAATTGATCCATTTTATCTTTATTGGAGTCAGGGAACCAGACTACATAAACAGTTGTGTTTTTCTTGGTTTTTCAAGCATTTTCGAACGCAAAACTTCAAACATGTCAGTTAAATAATATTTGATCTATTATGCTAACCCCTCGAATAGTTCATTTCTGAAAATTACAGCAAAAGCCAATGATGTACATTCCCTTTAAAACATAACTAAAATTGGCAAAATGTGGGGGGGGATATGCCAATAACCGGAAATTCAATACTTCAATGTGCACATGATGCGACAGTGAGCTATTAAAGCTCAGTATTATTTGAAAATTGTTAGCAATCACCAAAGAATGGACCTTGATACTGATTGTTGGCAAATAACTTAGCTATCGACATCAAACGACAGAATTATTTCTCATATTACGTTGCTATTGTTTTAATTCCCTGCATTAATTAATACCAAATACATAGTTAATAAATGAATATAGCCGGCAATACACTGACTTAAATATGCATGTTTTATGGGATAATTAAAATTAATGTTGCATATACTTCAGGTAACAAAGTTGTCTTAAACTAAAAGTGAGAAAGGATTAAGCTGTATTTGTTAGCCCTTCACTGAAAACTAGGAAACATATTATTTAAAAATCCAGGTACATGAATTTAAAAACAAAGTCTATAGTTGGGGGTTGGATTTAAAAACAAAATATAAAAAATCTACGCTTTCTTCCGCAAGAGCAATTTCCTTTGCCAGCAGACTAGTAATGCAGACTAAATTATAAAATTTGTGGGTAACACCATGTGGAATAATATTTCTTGTTGGAAGAAGTGTGGTTCTGAAAAGAACCGGTTCTTTTCAGAACCACACTTCTTCCAAGAAGAGATATCTTTCCAAATGGTGTTACTACACGCACAATTTTTTAATTTATCTCATCCGCCATGCAAAGCTTCAAGTCGTATATAATGCAGACTAGTAATGTTATATTAAAAACAAAAATGTGCACATTGCTATAGATGTCACTGTATACGTGTACTTCGTTTGGAACCCCGTAACAATAACGTGATGTTTATAGATAACACTTTTATACCAAAGTATCCAACCGCTTTACAATTATTACCCCTGTTCATCACGCCATATATGGGGAGAGACTATGTATTATATTGACCTTTATAGACATGCCTTTCACACTATCTAAAATCTCTGTGTTCTGGGTCCAACACAGATTTTGGGAACCCTTTGTACATGTACATGAGTAAGAATCCAAAACATGGCTTGTGCACAGGTCAGGCTTTGTACTCGAGTAAAATCCAACCCTGGTCAAGACCATGGTTGGGAGGCTCTACGTTGATATAAAACAAAATCTAAACCCTTGTACAGTCGAACCGTGATAAGAAGACCACTGTTAATACAACCAAATTATAATACAATACACTGCTTATAACAAGCAAAGATTTTAGGTCCCAAGTCTTTGTTTTGCTTTGTTTTCCATTACTGAATAATACAAGGTACCTGTTACAACAAGGTAATTTATAAAGTCCCAAGAACCTTGTTATAAAGGTGTTCGACTGTACATCTGGTGTAAAGGTGAATGGTATGCGACGTATGCAGCGCAGGTGGCCCCCCGCTTATGGTGGGCCCCCTCTTATGGTGGGCCCATGTTAATTTCAACATGGGAAGGCAAGACAAGTGTGAAAAAGGCTTTATGATTCGGCACCGCCATCGGAATTGGCTGCGGTCACATGATCTCTCTGTATCGACCATGTCACCTTGGCACAAATAGTCATCTCAATTACCCCAGCAACTTTCTCATGCTGTTTTTGTCCTATTGTACAGTGAGTATCAATACTGAAAAACCACCGATACTTCAATTGATATAGATGCAGTAAGTTTGTTTAAAGGTGGTATCACGTGACCACAACGCATATTTGTGAACAAATGTGACATGGTCTATACAATTAGTGACAACTTGTAACCCATCCCATGTGACATCACTTCTACCCACTCTTATAAACACCACTATTGTGCATACTTATAAACAAATTCTATTAAAAAAAAAACATATCTCCTGAATACTTATTTGTTCCCCTTACTACCTTGATTACATCATTTCATTTATATGATCACTCTAATCATTTTCAAAATAAAGTAATAGTTCATTGCTTATATATTTAACCAGATCTTAGAAAATGAGTGTATGTGTTTGGGATACCTTCAAAAGGCATTCAAAGAATATTAACAGGTTTCATTGTGGAATAAAAGACTGACTTTCCTTAGCTTTCCCTTTTTCATGTCTTGTTTCAAAGTTGTGCTCAAACAAGTAAGATTTTCAACTTGTGTTACATACAAGAACTGGTCACATAAATACATACCCCAATACAACTCAATAAATACACCTATACATATAATTGATAACAAATCTGTAACTTACTTACTTTACACCAAAAGAAATCCGCCCAATTTGTGTTTGAGATGCTATAGAAGTATACATGTGCATTGAATATAAAGGAGAGATTAATACAGAAAGATGCAATGTTTAGTCAGAGTGTTAACAATACATGAGGCAGCTGCAGATAATTATTGGAAGAATTTATGTACAAACAGACGTAATAATCTAAGCAGAGATTCAGTGTTGTTACACATACAAAAAACATTAACAAAGACAAAGCATTACCTAAATGTGACATCAAATACATGCTGAGTGAATCTGTCATTAGTTGTCCCTAACAACATTAATTACAGAGTAAAATCAAGATTGTTCCCTAAAAATATTAAGATTCAAGCACCTTTCTCATACTTTGCACAAGTTACTAAGCGAGTAAATAATAAAAAACCTTGCATACATTATGAAGAGATATAAAAGTAAAAACTAACTGCAAAGCAATACTTCAAAAATATATATTTTTTAGGCCTATAGTTTTTTGTCAAATGCACCATAACCTTCAAAAGTTTATGTTTCCTCAGTTCAGTATATAAATGATTACTTATTGTTTGAAATATACGAATCTGAAAATTACAAGTTGGGCTGTGTTTTCTCCAAAAAATAATACAAGATCAACCTAGTAACTTTCCCATAAACAAAATTTTACAGTTGAATCACAGACATATGAATTACTTTAATTTGCTTTATATCCTGCGCCACTTCAACAGATAATGCTACATATTTCATTCGCATGTATACTTAATTACAATCACACTTTAAATGTCCACTATATTCGGTTCTGGCTAGTGCTTTTACCTGCATTATAATATTTTTTACAGAAATCGGAGTAATAATTTCACATTCTATGGCCCCACTGGTTGTGTACATTGTACACTACCATAGTTTGTAAGTGGAGTTTTGTGAATCTGGCATGCAAGCTGGAATAGCCCTATTTTTGTTTTTAATTGAAATCGCTTCCAAATGACATGTACAATGCATAGATATTTACATTTGTTACCTTAAAACTGTATTTGAAAAAGTTAACTACACAGTCATGCTTATAGCCACTTTACTTCAATGATATCTCTATAAAAAAAACTTGCACCAATTTTTGTATGCCTATTATAGAAATATCTATACTTAAATACAACGTTACAATATAGCTGGCTATGTATGTTGACGATTTCCCTGTGAATTACTTTTGTGATATAAATCTACAGTTTTTGTAACAAAGTCTGTAAAAGTATATGTACTTTGTGATTTAGTTACTCATTACACATATGGAGTACAAATATATATACAGCAAAACCACTCAACCTTATTATATAAAGTAATTTCTAATTTACAAAAGGGGCACTTACATTACACATTTGCAGTGATTCAATAAACTTTTTAAGCCAGTTCTTGAGATGGCAATACTACCTAAACAGAAATCATTTACCATTTTAAACACAATTCTAAACAAAAACAGTTTGGTAGTTTGTTAAGGTTTTTTAGTTTACTAAGTACAACTTTCAAATCATGTTAAAAATATATACAAGGGCACAATGATCCTCAACTTTTTTTCAGGTGCATAAAGATTGATTATCAATCGCATTGCCAATGGCTCTATTATTTTGCTGTTATAAAAAAACTACAGTGCAACGCATTTTTGGAGGCAACTGCCTATTTGAAACTAGCAGCAATAAACTACATGCTGCTTGGAGTATTAAATACTCAAATCAGTTCTTTTTGTCCATCTAAAAGTGCCCAACATCAAAGAGCTCTTCTTGCCATGAGGCCAAGTCAGGGTCTGAGTGTGAAAGCCTGCTGTACTTGGACTGCTGGGTGTGGCTGATTTCTTGCTTCTTCACCAGCTTGGCATACCTGATCTCTGCCGAGAGAGCTGGCATGGATCCAGCATCCACCATCAGCTGTTCCGGAGCAGGGTGTCTTCTGCTGCTCCCCAGCTTGGTGTAGGGATATGCAGTTGAGTAAGATGGCGGCGATGTGACAGTGGCATTGCTGGTGGTGGATCTGTAGAGATCTGGCTCTGATCTTGAAAGCCGATTGCTGTACCTGTCTCGTTGCCAATTGCCATCGTCCATGTTAATTCTGTAGCCAGTGAGACGAGGGGGCCCATCGGGGAGGACGACTTCAGACATACTCAACTCTTCCCTGACTCGCTGACGGTCGATTTTAATGACTGAGTGCCTCTTGCGAGGTGGCTCACCAGGCATCCAGGATGCATCTTGTGGGGACCTACTTGGCTTGGAAGGTGCAAAAAAGGGCAGGTCAAATGAGTAGACATCGCAGTCCCCATACACAGTGACATCGTCGTCATCAGAGCTGACATCAGAGTTGGTAGATGAGGTTGTGAAGTCGGTGGGACCTCCTCGCCAGAAGTTTGGATTCTCGTGCAGGAATGGATCAGTGAAATCCATCACAGCACTGAATGATTCAGTGTCAGTGTCTGAATCAGTTGTGTCTACTTCAGACTCAGGATCCTGGGATGTGGATGTTGATAGGTCACTTCTCGGGGACCACTTTGGCGGTTGGCTCAGTTCACGATGCTTCTCGATCATCTCCGACAGTCTGCTCATTGGCAGTACAGATTCATCATCACTTGGGATCCCATCTGACAGAAGATCAGAGAGACGGGTTACCATACCTCGTGGTATTGGTAGCAATTCAACAGGATGACCATCCTCAGAGGACAGGAAAACTGGTGACATCCTACCAGGTGTATGTGATGGGGATTGTGATGGAGATAAAGAATGGACAATGCGGGCACCAGGTCTTGGTGATCCCTTCTTGTCATATGGAACATTCAGCCTGTATGCTGAGGTCTCCCGCTTGAACCAATCACCTTCCTCAGTTGGTGTTGGGAAATCTTCATCATCCATTATAATATTTGGAATGCTTTCTGTTGGTGTATGCTCAAGATTCATGAAGTGTTGACGACCTCTATGAGGGCTTTGTGGAATGTGGCTAAATTTTGAGTGGCTGGAGTATTCAAACCTGGAGGACTGATGAGCATATTCCGGTGGGCTGAATGGTGAACCATTTGGTAGGTCTGGTGTCTGAGGTTCATCATCCCTGTTTACAAAGTAGCCAACCAAAGTAGCCTGGTCATCTGTCACAATCACCTTGGAAAGTCGGAGGTCACGACGAATCTTCTCCAGCTCTGACATTTCTGGTAAACTGTCAGATTCAGTGTCTGACAAGATTGGAGATGTGATTGGGGGTGTGGATTCTACAGGTTTCCCTTGCTCTAGAATGCTTGTGTGAGAAAAGAGTGATGTGGAAGGATCTGAAACACGAGTCGTTGGTGTTGATGTCCTGAACGCACTGGTGTAGGTTGTACCAGCTGCAGTTGTTTGGAGCAGAATCATCCCACACCTTGGTGGCATGGATTGTAGGACATCTCTCGTGAATCGACTACTTGACTCGTACGATGACTCATAGGAGCTCCTGTATGAGGTCCTTGACACAGTTGGTCTGATTGCGTCCAGGTCTGTTGACTTCATGGGGACATAGTCCAACCTTGCAACCAGTGGTTCTAAAGGACTCTTGGCTTGATGAGTGGAGCCTGGTCTATCATTGAAGCTGTATGAGAATTTGGAACTTGTGGGTTCTGCTGAAGTATTGGGCGAGGTGAACATTGGTAGTGTTTGCTCTGCTGGTGGAACCTTCTCTCCTGTTATTATTTCTGTAATGTAAGCACGCTCATTAGGTGCATCTCTCGTTTGGACTGTGTAAAATGGTGCATGGACTGGATCTTGCCTTTGAGGGCTGATTATATCAAATGTGAGGAATGACAATGGAGAATTGGCCTGCTCTCTAACCACTGGTTTGGCCTGGAGTCTCCTGTCTGTCACGTCCATGCTTCGCTCGTATTGTACTGAACTGTCTTGCTGCTTGACAGGGATCTTCTGAGTGGTTTCATACGGTTCAATGAGTTCCACCTGAGTTGAATAATCACCTGTCTCTTGAGGTTGAGTAGAAGTGCTCTTATCAAAAGTCACAGGCTTGACTTGCATTGTAGTGTCTCTGTGGAATACAGGTTCAGACTGGCAGGTTGCATCCATCTGATCGGTGACAGTTTGTGTATTCTCAGATCTTATGAGGGGATTTTCTGTCTGTACATATGTTTGATGTATCTTCGTGACTTCCATCGATGTACCTTGCTCATCAGTGTCTGGTTGTACCTGGCACAGAAATCCAACTGTCTGAGGATCATGAGAGAACTGGACAGACACATCTGACTGGCTTGGTTTGGCTTCGTACTGATCGCACTTGTCCATCTTCTGCACCACAACTTGAATTCCAGACTCACGACTTGGCTTTTCACTTGGTGTTGTCCCACGATGGGTCATGCTTGGCTGGGCTTGCACTGGGGCATCTGAAGTTCGAACATTGTCTGGCGTAGTTCCACACTCAACTGTGTACACCTTGGTCTGTGTGATGCCATCAACCGGTTTGCTTGGTTTATCATACTGTGACGATCTATCTTTAGTAACTGTGCTTACTTGAGTAGGAGCATCATGTAGGTTTTTCATGACTGGGGAGGTTCCACGGTCCAGCATTAGTGGCTTGACTGGTTCTGCCTTATACTCAGAAGGCTGGTACATCACAGGTGCCTCGGTCCTTACCTCATGGATTGTTTCCTTGATGTACTCTTGTTCCAGCTCTCTGCGAATTATTGGCTCTAAATCACTTCGTACCCGAGGCTCAATTTCTCTTCTGATCTTAAACTCCAAGTCATCTCTTGTACGTTCTTCAAATTCGAGCCTTATTCGAGATTCAAACTCAATCTTTAATTCTTCTTTGATCTCAATCAGGATTTCTTCCTTGTATTCTTCAATGAACTCCTCCCGGAGCTCTTCACGAACTGTGATCTCAAGCTCTGTCCTCAGTTCATCGCGTACCTCCATCTCAACCCTTGAATTTACCTCATGTTGGACTTCATGCAGAAGTTCCTCTCGTACCTCTTCCCATATCTCCTGTCGCACCTCCTCCCGTATCTCCTCTCGTATTTCACGTATCACTTCCATCCTGATTTCGTTTCGGATTTCTTGACGGACTTCTGTATCATCAATTGGACTGAAAGGCTGCAACCGTGTTGGGGATGCTGAAACCTGCTGGACCAAAACTGGCTTTATTGGAGATTCTGCGATGGGGCTTGTGTCCTGAAGAATCTTTTCAGGTGCCATGTTGATGGGGGAGCTTGCCCGATCAAGACATGCAGCTTTGGAATCAATAGATTGAGTTGAGATGTCAAGATGCTGGGCACGATACTGTACCATAAAGTCCATAGTTTTGATGCTCTGCTCGTACTGTGTAGTCTCATGGCGCTGGGTAGGAATGACATGGATGGATACATCCCTGTTTTGAGGCTTGGTTGATGTACCCTTTTCAAGAGACTGTGGGCTCATCTGAACAACTTTATCAGCAGAGCTCACCCTGTCATACTGAGTGGGAATGTAATGTTGGTCAGCCTTTGTTTGCACTGCCATCTGGTTCTTTCGTACTTCTTCTCGTACCTCCTCCCGTATCTCCTCTCGTATTTCATGTATCACTTCCATCCTGATTTCATTTCGGATTTCTTGACGGAGCTCTGTATCATCAACTCGACTGAAATGTTGCAACCGTGTTGGAGATGCGGAAACCTGCTGGACCATCACTGGCTGGATTGCAGATTCTGTGATGGGGCTGATGTCCTGAAGAATCTTTTCAGGTGTCATGTTAATTGGGGAGCTGGCCCGATCTAGACATGTAGCTTTGAATTCAATAGACTGCGTTGAGATGTCAAGATGCTGGGCACGATACTGTACCATGAAGTCCATAGTTTTGATGCTCTGCTCGTATTGTGTAGACTCATGGCGCTGGGTAGGAATGACGTAGATTGATACATCCCTGTTCTCAGGCTTGGTTGATGTCCCCTTCTCCAGGGACTGTGGGCTCATCTGAACAACTGCATCAGCAGAGCTCACCCTGTCATACTGAGTTGGGATGTGACGTTGGTCGACCTTTGTTTGCACTGCCATTTGGTTCTTTCGGATGGCCAGTGGCGAGGTCGTTTTAGCAACTGCATCTGGCTTTGCCTGAGTCTGCATGTCTGAAGTTGGTGTTGATTGTTTCAGAGTTGATGTCCCTTGTTCCAATGTTTCAGGTTTGGCTTGAGTGGAAGTAGGTGTGCTGTCTACCTTGCAAGTCATGCCAGCATCTGTCATCAGTGGTTCAACTTGAGCAGAGATATCCTGGCCAAGTGTGTAATGCTGTGTTGCTGCATCACTGGTTGGAACCTCTTCAATGTCAAAGTCAACTTGTGCAGAGACATCTTGACTGAACACTGGGGCAGTGTAGCTGGATTCACTGGCTGTAATTGGGCTAGCTTGGACATTGGTGTCTGTGTGGCCAATGTCTTTATCAAACTGGCTCTGAGCTTCCTTTGTTGGAGGAAACAGGGGTGATGTGCTCCTTTCCTTGGTTCGCAGGGGACCAGTCTGAACAGCAGACTCAATGTAATATTTGGGTGCAGCCAGCTGTTGGTCAGTCTCATCTTTTGCAATAGGTTCCTCCAATTCGAAGGTGCTCTGATTTGATGTGAAAAGTCTGTCAATGATGTCTATACTTTCAGTCATTTCAGTATCATACAGGCGGCTGGAGAAATCACCAGCGTAGTCCCATATAGGTGAGGAATTTTCCTGGCGTGGTACAAATTGAGATAATTCCTTGATCCTTTCAATGGGATGCTCAACATGGACTGGCATTTGTTCATCTCGGTCGAGGTACTCACAGAGTCGGTCTGAGTAGTCGTGCATGAAGTCACTGTCAGCCTGTGGTTTGAAGGGTTGATGTGGAGCTGATCTGATGAGATCTTCGATGGAGCTGTCCATGTCCTCTGGTAGAGTGTCTGTCTGGGAAGAAGCATTGTCAACCTCTTTCCTCTTGAAGATAGGAGAGTTTGCTTGCTCTCTGATGACCGGCTTGACTTGGACAGAGTTGTCCTCAACAAACATTCTTTCATACTGAGAGGTGTTGTGCACAAGAGTAGTTTGGTCACACTGGGAGCCCTCACTCTTCTTTGGGAAGAATGTTTGGGTTTCAAATGCTCGCACATCAGGTTTGGTCGCTGTAGATTGGTCGTGAGAATCAGGTTTGATAGCAGCATGAGTCAGCTCCGACTTGGTGTTTGGTTTAGACTGTATACCGACATCCGATTTGAACAGGATTGTCTGTGTTGAAGATTGGGATGTTACATACTGAGCTAATGTTCCTTTGTCAGTAGTTTGCGTGACAATCCGTGGAGAGGATGGCCTTTTGTCTGATGGTGCAATGTACTGAACAGACACTTCAGTTTTCTTCAGTGGCATTGTGGATGTTCCTTCCTCCACAGTCAGAGGATGAGCTTGTGTAAACACATCCACTGGCTTAAACATCCTCTCATGCTGTACTGCTGTTTCATGAGTTATAACCGAGCTGTTTCCAATATCAACTTGAACCTCAGCCTGGGAGTGCTTAGTGATGTCAGTAGTTGTTCCTTGCTCAATGGTCAGAGGTTGTGACTGGTTCGCGAAATCGATTCCAGTTGATACAGTTTCTGTTGTTGAATCCTCAGTGGTTGGATTATACTGCATTTCGGCATCTTGATACTGCACTGTTGGTAAAGGTGCAATGTGCTGTTCTTCTGTGACTACCTGTGCACTAATCAAGTCTTCCTCAACAGACTCCATCTTGTAAGACTCCTCACTGAAAAAGGACATTACAGCCTGAACCTCAGCTGTTGAGGTTTCTTGGAAGTTTGTCTGCAGTCCTATGTTAGAGGCGTCTGTTCGAGTCTGAGATGAGACATCACTGTAATCAGGACCAACTGGGGATGATGCTCGCTCACTGACATCGATGCTGGTCTGCACAGTCTGTATATCAACTGAAGGTTGATGTTGAATGGACTTGTCTGTTGTCATGACTTCAGGGAATGGAACAGGAGCGTGCTGTAGCTCTGTGACATCAGGACGAATGATTTCATCAACTTCTGGAGCAAAACTAGCCTGGTTGCCTTTGTCTTTTGTGAAAACTTCTGTCAACACTCCCGCCTCGGTTGATATCGGCTTAACTTGTGAGATTTTGTCTCTCATATCCTTTTCCTCACCATGCTGAATGGAGACATCAGTTGTTTCTGGTTTCATGCCATCCATGTCGACTTGGGTTGGCCTATCGACATGCCTTGATTGAACCGTCTCTGATGTATCATCTACCATCACTGGCTTGATCTGAAGACCCTTGTCAGCCAAATCAGGGAGATCATCATGTTGGACACATGCATCATAACATTTTGTCTCTGCCTGAGTGGTGATGTTTCTTACGTACTTAGGTGTAGTCAGGGTAGCTCTGGATTCTGTATCTGGTTTAATTCCAACTTGGACCATGGCCTGCCTCATATTGACAGGTTCAGTGTTGCTGTGAGAGCTGGTTGTCGCAACGATGCTTGTCAGAGTAGCCTGGTCGGTGTTTAGCGGCCTGAACTGCATTGCCATGTCAATCATTTGTGGTTTTTCTTCATGGATGACAACAGTCTGGATGCCCGATGTCATCAGGCTAACCTCTCTTTCTGTTTTGGCTTGTACCCCTGCATCTCTCTTCTCTGTTGTTGCTTGTGAGTTCTCCTGTCTTACATTAACTGTGGTGTAGGTACTCTTTTCTTGCTGATCAATGAAGGTCTGGCTGACAGCATGTTCAAGATAGATCTCATGCTGAGCAGTAGCATCAAGCAACACTGGTCCGGGATCAACGGCAGACATACCTTGATCACTTGTCTTTGGCTCAACTTGTGTGCCAGTATCTATAAGAATTGGACCCAAATCAAGGAATGGTGTTTGTTGTTCAGGCACATGACTTATTCTGATGACTTCCTCCATCGGTTCTTCAGCAAATTCTGTCTGTACCTCAATACTGGTGAAGATTATTTCCTCAGTAGCTGTTGATTGGTCATCCTGAATAGGCTGTACCTGGACTGGTATGTCATCGACATCTGGTTTGACTTGTGTCCGTGCATGAACAAAATGCTTGGGAGTCTTAGCTTGCACTCCAGAATCTTTCTTCTCTGTTGTTGCTTGCGAGCTTTCCTGTCGGACATCAATGCTGGTGTATGTACTTTTTTCCTGCTGATAGGTAAAGGTCTGGCTGAAAGCATTTTCTGAATAAATCTCGTGCTGGGCAGCGGTGTCAAGTAGCATCGGTCCACGTTCAAGTTCAATGGGAGACATACCATGGTCAGTTGTCTTTGGTTTAACTTGTACGCCAGAATCCATGAGAATCGGACCCAAGTCAAGGAAGGGTGTTTGTTGCAGAGGAACCTGACTAACTCTGATGACTTCCTTCATCGGTTCTTCAGCAAACTCTGTCTGCACCTCAGTACTGGTGAAGATTTGTTCCTCTGTAGCTGTTGAACGGTCATCCTGAAGAGGCTGCACTTGGACTGGTACCTCATCCACCTCCGGTTTGACTTGAGTGTGTGCATGAACAGAATGTTTGTAAGTAAGCGTTTCTTCCTTCGGGTATGCAGATGATTCAAGATGACTGATGAAGTGTTTCTTTTGTGGTGTCATTGAAAATTCACTCAGGACCGTTGGTTTCACTTCTCCCTTGACCACTCTCGTTGAAAAGATGTTGAATTGAGTGTTTTCACTCTCATGTTGCATTGACCTTTCATTAGTCTTTACATCAGCCTGGATAGAGGCATCCTTTAGCTCTGGTTTGTACTCAGGAAGTTTCAGAGGTGCATGTACTGGTTGCAGGTGTACTGGAGAGATGTGTTCATCCACAACACGAACTGGAATGGCATCTGTCTGCACTGCCATACTTACAGACTTCAATGGTTCTGTTACTGTGCCCTCGCTCCATGTACTCGTCCTTAGTGTCTGGGTCACCCCAACTTGCTTTTTTGTTAAAGGTGCGTTAGTGCCACTCTCCACAACATGTAGACCCTCTGTTTGAGCTCCTGCATTGGACCTCTTGTCAGTTGTCTGTGTGAAAGCTTCAAGGAATTCTGGAGATGGAGTGATGAATTGGATTTCTTCATCAACCTGATCTGTTTGTGTTTCTTCATGCTGATGCTGAGTCTCCTCAGTCTGAGAGTATCCTGTGAAGACCACGGCAGCATGCTGCATTGATCTGTCAACAATCTCTGGCTTGGTTTCCAAGAAAGTCTGGAGGCAAATATCTTGTGAAATCACCTGATAAGTGGCAGTACCCATGCTAACAGTAACCGTTGCTTCTGTCTGAGTTTTCTTCTGTGCTGCATTTGGTTCATACTGTGTATCTTTCGTCCGATGGGCTGGAGAGACAGTCTGTGATTCAGCTACAGCATAACTGATTCCTGGTGAAGAGGGTCTGTCTGTTGTGAAGACTCTAGTTGTTTGTGAATCTTCGTCAGTTACTTCAGTACTTGCCTGCACTCCGGTATCTATGACTTCTGCTTCTGGAGCAGAGAAAGTCATTTGTGCTTCAACAGGTTGGAGGTTGGCGACATGAATAATCTCAGGTTCAATTACTGGCATCTCATCAGTTTGTGTAGTTGAAGTCTCCACCTGGCTTTCCAGTGCGTGTGTCCCTTGTTCCTTGGTCAGAGTTCCTGGAGTTTGAGTGTTAATGTCTTCGTTGGTCAAATATGGCACTGGTTCAAACTGGAATCCCTTTGTTGCTGTTTTGGTGGGGAAAGTTTGAGAGGAGATTGGTCTAACCATGGGAGTTGTTGTTACAGTACTAGCATAAGAAATCTGCTTTGGCATCGTCTGTACTGTTTTGTCGACCTGTGGCTGAGGAGAGGTTTGCGAAGTTGTATCATTTACCTCCTTTCTGGTCTCAACCTGGATATCAGCATCAATCATGTCAATTGGACATGTCTGACTGTCCTCATCCATCAATTCAATCTCAGAATCCAAATCAGAAAGAATGACAACTGGATCTGTTTGAACATCTGTGTCAATTCCACTGTCGAGCCATGATTCATCATCATCATCAGGTCTAGCAGATTTGATGATGACAGGATCTGTTTGAATTTCGACTGTGTTGGTCTCCTTGAATGACTTCATCTCTAGTCTTACTTCCTTCTTCTCTATTGGTTTCAGAATGGCTGCAATATCCTCTTTTATTATTGTATCCGTTTGAGATGTGGCATCATCAAGAACAGGTCTGACCTGAATAGGAGCATCAGCCCATAAGATTTCTCTCTGCGTCCATCTGGTAACCATTTCAGCAGCTGATGTCTGGGTTGCTCTTTTGTCGTACTGCTGTAATGTAGGAGTTGTTGCCTTGTCCATGTTCTGTGGGTTAGCCTGCATTGTTTTTGATGAAAGTGAAATTGACTTGGTATTTGTATAACTGTGCTGATATTCTTTCTGATCTGTGAGTGACCCAGCATCATTGACGTCTGGGGAAAATTGTGTAGGTTTGTCCTTGCCATATAGCGAAGCATACTGAATCGCTGCATCATGTACTTTGACTATAAAGGTCTCCATTTCTTTGTCAATGACATCAGGCTTCACTTGTACACCAAACTCCTTCAGCTCTGCTTCATACTGGGTAATGGCATGCTTAACCTCCAGGAGAATGGGTGATGTGCTCCTTTGGACAGTTTCTAGGAAGGTTTGGACTCCAGAGTCCTCTGTATCAATAGGGAAACTCATGGGAGACTCAACAGGATTGAGTTGTTCAGGAATGATGAATTCCTGCACCATGGGCTTTCCATCAAGTTTCTGCTTCAGAGTTGCCAGCATTTCTTCCAGGTCCTCTATTGTCAGTTCTGTCTGGCAGTCAGATTCTTGCATCTCAATGTCAACGAATGAGGCTTGATCACGTTTGTCTGTGTGTGTCTGAGTTTCAAAATTTCTCAGTTCTATGATGTGCTGTGTTCCAGCTTCGATCAATTCCTGAACAACCAGATCAAAGGAGGTTGAGGCATCATAGGACTCTGGGGCTGCCTGTGATGATACATGCATAGAGGCAGTGTCATGCTGGGAAGCTTGATCAGTGATGTCTGGTTTCTCCGTCAGTGTCATTCCCTCTCTGACATCAGGTGAGGTCTGCATCATTTGAGACAACATTTCGGGTTCATTTTGTTCAGCAACCGGAGCATACTCTCTCTGCGTCCCTCTGGTAATCGTTTCAGCAGCTGATGTCTGGGTTGCTCTTTTGTCGTACTGCTGTAATGTAGGAGTTGTTGCCTTGTCCATGTTCTGTGGGTTAGCCTGCATTGTTTTTGATGAAAGTGAAATTGACTTGGTATTTGTATAACTGTGCTGATATTCTTTCTGATCTGTGAGTGACTCAGCATCATTGACGTCTGGGGAAAATTGTGTAGGTTTGTCCTTGCCATATAGCGAAGCATACTGAATCGCTGCATCATGTACTTTGACTATAAAGGTCTCTATTTCTTTGTCAATGACATCAGGCTTCACTTGTACACCAAACTCCTTCAGTTCTGCTTCATACTGGGTAATGGCATGCTTAACCTCCAGGAGAATGGGTGATGTGCTCCTTTGGACAGTTTCTAGGAAGGTTTGGATTCCAGAGTCCTCTGTATCAATAGGGAAACTCATGGGAGACTCAACAGGATTGAGTTGTTCAGGAATGATGAATTCCTGCACCATGGGCTTTTCATCAAGTTTCTGCTTCAGAGTTGCCAGCATTTCTTCCAGGTCCTCTATTGTCAGTTCTGTCTGGCAGTCAGATTCTTGCATCTCAATGTCAACGAATGAGGCTTGATCACGTTTGTCTGTGTGTGTCTGAGTTTCAAAATTTCTCAGTTCTATGATGTGCTGTGTTCCAGCTTCGATCAATTCCTGAACAACCAGATCAAAGGAGGTTGAGGCATCATAGGACTCTGGGGCTGCCTGTGATGATATATGCATAGAGGCAGTGTCATGCTGGGAAGCTTGATCAGTGATGTCTGGTTTCTCCGTCAGTGTCATTCCCTCTCTGACATCAGGTGAGGTCTGCATCATTTGAGACAACATTTCGGGTTCATTTTGTACAGCAACCGGAGCATACTGCTTCACAGGTGTCATGGTGTTGGTATCCTGCATCCGAGGACCGACTTGAGCATAGGTGTGTAGTAGCTTAGGTAGCTTTATTGAGGTACTTTGGTCTGTTGATACTACATTATCAGTTTGAGATTCAGCAACCTGTGTCTCGGGAAGCAGTGCAGGTGGAGCAAAGAGGACTGGTTCAATCTTCATGGGTGCAATGAGAGGTTCTGGTTCAGACATCGCATCCGTCTGTGAGCTGTTATCCTCACCTTGATGGGCTTCTGTTTGACTTGATGAAGGTTGCACCTTAATGATGTGTGTGGTTGTTTCTTGGTTTCGGTTTTGTACAACAGCACTTACGTGTTGATGCATTGTGGGTATTTCTGCCTGTGTGGATGCACTGTAGAAATACATGGGCTCATACTGCACAGTAGAATCCTTAAGCACAGGAACAAAGTCTATGATGGTTACCGGGTTCGTTTGGACCTCCATATCAGTGACCTCAACCATCTCCTCTGTCTGGAAGCCTGTTGCTGTCTGTTCAGGTCCAGTGGACTGCGACATCATAGTAGCAGTGGAAACTGACGCCTGCAAGTTCTTATGCTGTGTCTTGATTGGTCCACGTGGCTGTATGCCCACCAAGTCGCCCATATGCTCAACAGACTTGTAGCTCTTCTCTTTCAATGGGACATAGCTGCTGCTTGTGACCAGATATTGCTGAGTTTGAACCCCTGAATTTTTCAAGCGTTTCTTCTCCTCTTGATCAGTCTGAGAAGACATGGTTGAGTGTTTAACAGTTGCCTGTGCAGAAACAGTTGCCTGGTGAATTGACATCTGAGATGGAACTTCACGTGTTTCTGGTTGAACAAGGCTGCCTTGCTCTGCTGTTTCAGGATAAGTTTCTATAGCAATGTTTGATGTTTTGGGTTCAACTTGGACATCCGCATCTTGTGTTTCTACAGGCAACTCTGGCATGCTTTCAACCACAGTTGCTACCTGAGACGCAATCATTTCTTCAACTGGTTCTTCATCTGTCATGCTCCAGTGGTCATTAACCATGGGCTCCATCATCTGGCCAAATGCCCTAGTGGAAGGTTGGGCTTGTGTTGGTATAGAAGTCAACTGAATCTTCACCATGGTAGTGCCTTGCGAGACTAACTGTGGCCTTTGCATTGTCATCTGTTGACTTACAGAAGTCATTCTAGGAACATTCTGCACATAAGCCTGGGTGTACTTCTTAACAAACGTTGAAGTTGTTTTTTCCCGGCTCTCTGGTCTGGTGAGGATAGCTCTATCAGTTGTGACTGGTTCAGCTTGTGTTTCTGCATCAACAAGCTCCACTGGTGGGAAATCGGGCATGAATTCAACAACTGGGGCTTGTTCAACAGTTACCAATTCTTCTAGTGGAATTGGTTCCTCCTTTTCTTCTGTTTGCATGCTGTTATCTTGGGTGATAGTTATCTGGTACTGAGTAGAAGAAGCTTTCACATTAACTTTATCAGGAGACACTCCAGTTGTTTTGAAGGATGCCTTCTCAGTGGAAGATCCTGTAGTGCGTGTTGGGACTGTTGTCTGGGACGAGGCAGCCATCCTAAAGCGTTCAGGCTCATACTGGACAACTGATTCCTTCAGCTGCGGGCCAAATGTCGATGTAAACTTGCTTTCAAGCTGTAACTTTGCTGTTTGAACATCTGATGATTTCATGACTTTATGTGTCTCTGGGTCAGTAAGGATTGCTCTATCAGTTGTAACCAACTCGGCTTGTGTTTCTGCATCAGCCAGCTCCACTGCAGGGTATTCAGGCATGAATTCAACAACTGGGGCTTGTTCAACAGTTACCAATTCTTCTAGTGGAATTGGTTCCTCCTTTTCTTCTGTTTGCATGCTGTTGTCTTGGGTAATAGTCATCTGGTACTGAGTAGAAGAAGCTTTCACATTAACTTTATCAGGAGACACTCCAGTTGTTTTGAAGGATGCCTTCTCAGTGGAAGATCCTGTAGTGCGTGTTGGGACTGTTGTCTGGGACGAGGCAGCCATCCTAAAGCGTTCAGGCTCATACTGGACAACTGATTCCTTCAGCTGCGGGCCAAATGTCGATGTAAACTTGCTTTCAAGCTGTAACTTTGCTGTTTGAACATCTGATGATTTCATGACTTTATGTGTCTCTGGGTCAGTAAGGATTGCTCTATCAGTTGTAACCAACTCGGCTTGTGTTTCTGCATCAGCCAGCTCCACTGCAGGGTATTCAGGCATGAATTCAACAACTGGGGCTTGTTCAACAGTTACCAATTCTTCTAGTGGAATTGGTTCCTCCTTTTCTTCTGTTTGCATGCTGTTGTCTTGGGTAATAGTCATCTGGTACTGAGTAGAAGAAGCTTTCACATTAACTTTATCAGGAGACACTCCAGTTGTTTTGAAGGATGCCTTCTCAGTGGAAGATCCTGTAGTGCGTGTTGGGACTGTTGTCTGGGACGAGGCAGCCATCCTAAAGCGTTCAGGCTCATACTGGACAACTGATTCCTTCAGCTGCGGGCCAAATGTTGATGTAAACTTGCTTTCAAGCTGTAACTTTGCTGTTTGAACATCTGATGATTTCATGACTTTATGTGTCTCTGGGTCAGTAAGGATTGCTCTATCAGTTGTAACCAACTCGGCTTGTGTTTCTGCATCAGCCAGCTCCACTGCAGGGTATTCAGGCATGAATTCAACAACTGGGGCTTGTTCAACAGTTACCAATTCTTCTAGTGGAATTGGTTCCTCCTTTTCTTCTGTTTGCATGCTGTTGTCTTGGGTGATAGTCATCTGGTACTGAGTAGAAGAAGCTTTTACATTAACTTTATCAGGAGACACTCCAGTTGTTTTGAAGGATGCCTTCTCAGTGGAAGATCCTGTAGTGCGTGTTGGGACTGTTGTCTGGGACGAGGCAGCCATCCTAAAGCGTTCAGGCTCATACTGGACAACTGATTCCTTCAGCTGCGGGCCAAATGTCGATGTAAACTTGCTTTCAAGCTGTAACTTTGCTGTTTGAACATCTGATGATTTCATGACTTTATGTATCTCTGGGTCAGTAAGGATTGCTCTATCAGTTGTAACCAACTCTGCTTGTGTTTCTGCATCAGCCAGCTCCACTGCAGGGTATTCAGGCATGAATTCAACAACTGGGGCTTGTTCAACAGTTACCAATTCTTCTAGTGGAATTGGTTCCTCCTTTTCTTCTGTTTGCATACTGTTGTCTTGGGTGATAGTCATCTGGTACTGAGTAGAAGAAGCTTTCACATTAACTTTATCAGGAGACACTCCAGTTGTTTTGAAGGATGCCTTCTCAGTGGAAGATCCTGTAGTACGTGTTGGGACTGTTGTCTGGGACGAGGCAGCCATCCTAAAGCGTTCAGGCTCATACTGGACAACTGATTCCTTCAGCTGCGGGCCAAATGTTGATGTAAACTTGCTTTTAAGCTGTAACTTTACTGTTTGAACATCTGATGATTTCATGACTATATGTGTCTCTGGGTCAGTAAGGATTGCTCTATCAGTTGTAACCAATTCGGCTTGTGTTTCTGCATCAGCCAGCTCCACTGCAGGGTATTCAGGCATGAATTCGACAACTGGGGCTCGCTCAACAGTGATGAATTCTTCAATTGAAATTGGTTCTTCTTGGTCTTCTGTCTGCATGCTGTTGTCCTGCAAGACAGCAATCTGGTATTGAGTAGATGAAGCTTTCACATCAACTTTAACAGGAGACACTCCAGTTGTCTTGAAGGATGCTTTCTCTGTTGAAGACCCGGTAGTGCGTGTTGGAACTGTTGTCTGAGATGAGACAGCTGTCCTGAAACGTTCAGGCTCATACTGGACTACTGACTCCCTTAGCTGGGGCCCAGTTGTTGACATAGCTTTTGACTCAAGTTTCACTTGAATAGTTTGAACAACAGATGTTTTAATGCCGACTTCATGTTGGGAACCAACATCGCTCATTATCGGTAACACTTCCCTTTCAGTTTGAGTGTCTGTATTCGTCAGTTCTACCTCCGGGAATATAGGAGCAGACTCCAGTGTCTCAATCTTTTCCAAGGACACTATTTCTTCAATGATTTCTAGTTCTTCCTGCTCTTCAGTTTGCATACTGCTGTCTTCAGTAACACTTTTTTGATATTGAGTTGATGATGTCGTCACATCCCTCTTTTCTGGGGAAATGCCAGTCGATTTAAGCACAATCTTTTCTGGGGAGAACCCTGTGCTACATGTATTAACAGATGTTTGATTGGAGGCAGACGACTTAAATTGTTCTGGTTCGTACTGGGTAAATGATGCCCTGAATTGGGTGACGTCAGTAGATAGGCCAATTGTTTCCCTCTTGACAGGTATCGTTTGGGCAGTAGTGTCAACCACATGAACATCCATTTGAGTGCTGCTGCTTGTAAGTTCAGGTTCAGCTTCCACATCAGTCTGAGTGGACATTTCATCATTGTCATGATCATACTGAGTAGCAGTCTGCGTTTGAGATATCTCTATTGAGGAGAACATGTCATTCGTGCTTGGCAAAATCACCTGGGTTGTTTTGTCCAGAAGTTCTGCTTTCAGGATGGGAATGGGAGCCTCAACTGGTTTTTCTATTTGTGGAATGATAAGCTCAATTACTTCTTTCTCTGGTGCCTCATGTGTCATACTCCACTGCTCTATGACATCTGGTCTTGATGTCTGTCCATGGGTGCTAGTTGCTGGTGAAGCCTGAACTGGCATGGATTTCATCTCAGTCTTGTCTGTCAAGGTACTTTGTGTCTTCAAGTTTGAGACCGGTTGCATTTGGACAGACACATCCTTAGATGGAGGTTTGACATAAGCCTTTGGAAGCAGATTGGCCATGTTACTTCTTTCCACGGAACCTCGTATGACTGTTGTCATACCACGGTCTATAGTCTGTGGCTTAACTTGGGTAGCATGCACAATGTGATCTACTGTAAACGCCAAGGTACCTGTTGTTGTGACATCAGGATCTGCCTGGACGCTGCCATCTTTGATGTTTCGTAATTGAACATGCTGCACTACTGCATCAGCAGTCTTGATGCCATCTGGTGACGTTCCTCGCTGTGTGGTCTCTCCTTGTATAGTTTGTGTATCTGCATCAGATGTCTCTACATCCCAATTCATCAGTGCCACAGACTCTTCAGGAGCTTTTATCACTTCTTGGATAATTGCTGGTTCTACTGTAATTTCACAGTCTGCCTGAGTGCCAACATCCAGCTGAAGTTTGATCTCCATCAATGTACCATCGTCAATCACTTGAGGCTCTGCACTAACACCAATTTCATTGCTGTCAATGCTGTACTGAATGCCAATGTCAATACCATCAGGTTTAGATTCAGAATACTCTGTTGCTTTGTCTACTGTGCGAGGGCGTACTTGTACCGGAACAGTCTTTTGCACAACTTCCATAGTCTCTGTGGAAGAGTCTGTGCTGTTCTGAGAAACCTGTAATGCAAAGCTGTGTCCATCCATTTTCTTCTCTGTGTATTTGTCAGTTGTTTGAGGCACATATTGGTTGGAAAATTCTGCTGTTTGTGACATGGTTTGCATGGCAAAATCTGTCACTTCAGCAGGGGTAGGTAGGGTCGGCATTGAGTACTGCTCGCTTTGTACAACTGCTTTAATAATTGCTGGCTCTGTCTCAATTTCCATGGAAACTTGTACAGAAACTTCCTGCTTTGTGGCAATGTCAGGTTGTGTAGATATCTCATTTGTTAGAAGCTCTTTTCCTGTGGTAGCGTCTGCTTGAAGTGTTCGTGCCTGGACGTGTTGGCTTAATGTCGAGATATTCATCTGTGAGCTGTTGTCCACATAGCTTACCACTGGAGTCTCTGTTCCCACCTCAGCCATGTTGGCATTAACCTGAATAGACTTGTCTCCCTGTTGAATTACAAGAGGTTTGAGCTGTGTGAAGGCATCAGTCGATTTTGGAGTGTCCATGCTTGTGAATGACACATTAATGTTTGGTACAGCTTGAATGGAAGAGTCAAGAGTGTCAGCCATTTCTTCAATTGGTGCATCATCCGCCTGAGAAGATACATCAGAGTATTTCTTCTTGTCCGTAGCAGCCACCCTGGATTTTACTTCAGGTTTAACTTGGACTGCGAGGTCAAGCAGTTCTTTTACGATGCTAATTTCTGTTGACTTTTCAGTCGAATGAACTTGCAAATTATCAGTTCCCACATCCTTCATTTCAATCACTATAGACGAATGACCATCAGTGACATCTGGCTGTACCTGAGCACCGAATACTTCTTGAGTTGGCTTTGGACTGGCAACCTGGACAAAGTTGTCCACATACTTTCTTAGCTCAGTAGCTGAAGCTCTGCTGGTCTTCTCAGGAACAACCTGAACAGCAAAGTCGATCTTCTCTACATCTGGTTCTTTGAATGTTACGGGTGCATGAACTGGCTGCATGATTGTTGGTGTGATGATAGGAATCTCTGGAGTTGACTGCATTTCAACCTGTATGCTCAAGTCAGAAGTAGACACAAGATCTGTAATAACCTCAAGATCTTCAGTTGAAGGACGAGTTTGGATACCCACTTCTTGCAACAATGACTTCTGAGGCATTGTAGCTGTTGATGTTTTCGATGGTGAAGCTTGAGTCTCTTGCATGGAGAACTCTGGCTTGAAAAGCTGGAAGAAATCGGAAGATTTGGTGACCTCAGTCACAGTAGATTTTATTGCCGTCATGGGTTTCACTTGTACTTGCTCACTTATCCCTGGTCTAAGTAGATCACATGATGTGCTTCGCTCAGTAACATTTGGCTGGATGTTAGCTTCTGTGGACATTGAGGATCTCTGAACAGACACACTCTGGGAAGCTTTAGAACTAGTTGCTGGCTGAGAAGCTTGTGTCATAACATCAGCTGTTGTAGGCTTTATCTGTGGTGTCATTTCCACCACTTGTTGGGTCTGTTGGACAATTTCCGGTTCCACAGCAACTGGCTTGATCTTTTTCATTGAAAGTCTCCGCTCTACATTTTCTTCCATCTCACTCATCAGTGTCAACCAGGGCTTCGCTGGTTGAGTAAAAGTGTCATGAAGCACTGGTTTCTTCACCTTTTGTTGCTTTGGCCCTTTAAGCTTGAAGATTCCTAAGCGTGTAGGTTCCTTAGTCACATCTTTAGGTCTTTCAGCAAGTTGAGATTCAAGCTCTCTGATCGTGACTCGATACTCATTTTCAACTGAACTGCGAACATCTTGAATAAGATCTCCCCATGGTCTTTCGGGAAGTGTTCCTTGGTCTCCAGTTTGAGGTGCATCAATTTGTGTGTACATACTCACTGTCTGCACTTTGGGCACCTCAGGGGCACTGAGCTTGAAATAGGCCATGGTCTTCCCAGAGTCAGGTTCATCTCTGCCACTCAACTGGTCTTCCAGCTCCCGAATGGTTCGCCTGTATTCGTTTTCAAGAATTTTCCTGACGTCTGTGAGGATATTCTTCCAGGGTCTTTCTGGGGCAGTTTCTTGCTCAGAAGTGCGTGGTGCTGCTTGTGTCTTCTCATCCATCATTTTTGTTTTTTCAGGCTCTGGTTGCACATGCACATCTGGTCCTTTCAGTTTAAAGACCGCAACAGTTGGAACTGTCTCGACAATGGGCTGATCTTTGGGTAAGGATGTCAGTCTTGTTTCAAGCTCAGTGATGGTACGTCTGTACTCGTTCTCCAAAATTCTGCGTACATTGTGCAGGACATCAGACCATGGTCGTGCTGGTTCGGTCACCTGATCAGCCATGACAGGTTTTGGTTCGATCAAATCACACTGAGTGATGTTATCCCATTTCTCAGGTGCAGGTTTGGTCTTCGGACCTTTAAGTTTGATAACACTCACTGTAGGAGCTTGTGTTTCTGGGACTTGTTGCACAGCCTCTTTTGGCTGGAATCGACGCATCTGTTTTTTATACTCCTCAATTGCCTCATCTTCAATTTCTTCTTTGAGTTCCCGCCATGGTAGATCTGGTTGAACCCCTCTGCTTGTTACTGTTGGCTTTTCAGCCTCTGGTTCCTTCTGCAGTTTAATCACACTGACAGATCGGACTGGTTGTGGACCATCTTGAGATACAACAGCCGGGCGATCTAACTGACTCAAGGTTCTCTTGAACTCCCTGACAGCCTCTTCCTCTATTTCTTCTTTGATTTCTGCAAATGTCAGGGTGGATCCGGTACTTTTCTCATAAGTGTTGGGTCCAGATATCTGAGTTACCGAATCTCGAACCAGCTTTTCTTGACCTGGTTCTTTCTTCAGCTTGATTACACTGACAGAACGGACTGGCTCATGGAAGTCCTGTGGTTCAGCTGATCGGTCAAGTTGTTTCAAGGTTTTCTTGAATTTCTGGACAGCCTCTTCTTCCACTTCTTCAACTAGTTCTTTGAAGCTCCATGCAGGCCCTGTGCTCTTCTCATATGTGTCTGGACCAGAAACCTGGGTGAAACTGTCCCTGATGATCTTTTCTGGGGCTGTTTTCAACTGGATTACTCCAAGTTTCTGGACTGACTTGGTAGCCTGGAATTCTTCCTTTGGAGCAGGGGCTGACATTCGCTTATACCGTTCTTCGATCTGGTCTTCAACCTCATGGATCAGATGTGACCAGCCAAAGGTTGGCATTGTTGCTTCATCTCTCATTTCAGCACTGCTCTGAGTTGATTGATCCATCAAACTATATGGAACCTGAGGCTGTACTTGTACTTCCTCACGCTTCAGTTTGATGACACTGATGGTACGGGGTAGAGCATCGGTCTCATCGGTTGGTTGATCATGCTGCTTCTTGCTCATCTTGCGCAAGATTTCACTCTCCACCATGCTATGCATCTCCCGCAGCAACTGCGCCCAGGTATTAATGGGTTGGGTTCCTCTGTCTACGACTGACACCGGGAACCTTGAAGTAGGCTCCCTTCTGGACTCTTGCTGCAACAATTTGATGACACCAATGGTTGGCATGTCAGAAACAGGAGTTACTCTGGAAGATGTCTGCCTATTTGTTTCTTCGGATTCATCAAAGCGCTCATCCACTCTTGAACTTGTCATCGGTCTCACATCATGAGTTGTTGATTTGGGGCGCACCAACCTTACAACTCCAATAGTTGGTATGTCACCCATGTCTTGATCTAATCGATGTAGAGACCTCTGGGATGAACCCCTCTCATTGACACTTTCTTGAAGTATCTGCTGAGCCAACCGAACAATGGGAACTTCATGCTGTGTCCACTTGTCATTCCTTGGTCCATGAAATCTGTCTCCGGGCACTGACTCTTCCCCACTTGTAACCTCACTATCCACACCAGAGGTGTCAGAAGCACTGTCTGGACGAACAAGCCGAATGACTCCAATCGTTGGTACTTCTTCAAAGGGACGCTGGTCATCCTCTGTCATGGGGGCACGTTCACTTCTGGCTGGGGCTGATCTTGCACGGCGAGGTCTTGGGGACATACGTTCATTTGACCGGCTTGTGGAGCGGTAGCTGACATCTTCAAGAGAGGCCGAGGTAAGATCCTCCTCACTGAATGTCATGGTTGAATAATCAGTCTGATCCTCTCTTATTCTTACATGCTTGGATGACTTGGGATGCATCAGTCGGATCACACCTATAAACCAAGAAAAAAAATACGTACCTCCTTAATATTACTGTAATACTTACAACAAGCATAGCCTTAATAGTCTCACCAGTCAATTCTATTTCTGATATGTAGCCAAGTACATTAAAGGTTTGTGTAATTTATGTGGTCATGCAGATGTTACAGTTTCAAATTTGAAATGATTGCTCAGTTGTAAATGATATGTAAACATATTCTGTACAATGTATTTGTCAATTTGAACTGAAGACTATCTTCGTGACACTGAACATACAAGAGTCCAAAAGATACAATTTCATACATGTACATATAGTCGCGTCAGTGCAACAAAGTCGTATCTCGGGCAAATATGCTCCTTGCAACAAGGTCATATCTCGGCGTCCATTGACATTGAGATACGACCTTTTGACATTCTAAAACTTGTGTTTTGCGTTTAAACCATTTTGGGAGATACGACCTTGTTGCACCGACGTGACGATATGTGTTTACACATGATCTTTAGAATACATGTACATGTTAAACCTTTTTATTAGATTTCAAACTTACCGATGGTTGGAATATCATCAACGGAATTCATCTCTTGGTCATAGGATGTTCGCTCTTTCCTCAAGATACTCGTCTTCTCCTGACCAGGTCTGCCACCTCGTGGAATTATCTCACACTGCACTCCTGCATCTGAAACCTCAATGTAGGTCTCCCGACGGTGCCTGATGTATGAATCTCGAGAGAAACCTCCGGGTAACTGGGTCTGAATTGAAATTGGTTTTCCTCTGGAGTTAACTGGATACAGCCGTACTGAGTTTGGACTGTCTGAATCTCTTCTTGGCATTACATGATATTGCTGTTCTTCACTGCTTCCATCTTGGGAAGAGTCATCAGGTTTGACAAGCTTGATGTAACCCATGACTGGCGGCATGCCGTCTTGGCCTTGATCTTCTGGCGGATCTTCTTCATTGAGGATTCCTTCTCGGGCATGAGCAGCAGCAGCGGCACGCATTGCAACCAATTTGGCTTTGTTGAGTCCGGTGCTGTATCGGTACCTGCTGTTGAAAAGTTCAGTCGGAGATTCTTCTTCTGAAGATCCATGGTCCAGGGGGATTCCACCGACGGTTGCTCGGAATGTACCGTGACCAATTGTGCCTGGTGAGTGCTTCGGCATGTTCAGGGTCTGCTGCTGTCTCTCGATGCTGTCTCCGTAATCGTATAGGTCATCATCACTGCTGTCTGAGCGGGAGGTGGAGGGTGTTGCACGAAGGATGAAGTTGCCAGATGGATCATAACTGGTTCCTTGTGAATCGCTGTGGACTTCTGCTGTGGTGTATTCTTGGCGTCTGGTTGATGTTGGTTTGCCAATTGTGAAATTGTCATCAATGGCAATGCGTGTTTCAGGCTTGGCTTCTTCCTCGTCCATATCCAATACGACTTCGTCCGGGAGTTTACACTTCCGCCAGGTGACTCTGTCTCCCTCGATCTCAATATCGTCACCTGTCTCTGATGTTACCGTGGCAACCTCACGCCGCACCTTTCCCCCAAAACCAGTGGTGTATGTATAGGTGGTTACGTCGCCATCATCTTCATGGATGTCGATGCTCTTTCGGCCAAAGCCATCCCTGAATTTTGAGGATGCAAAGTTCACAGGGCCAACTCCATGTGGGGTATGCAAGATGGGATACTCATCAGCATCCGTGTAGAGGGACTCAAGACTGTTAGTGTTGCCCTTGCCACTGAGGATGTTAGGAACACGGGAGCCCCAACCGGCATTATAGGTGAACATGGTGTCCATGCCATAGTCTGGCTCATAGTCATGGTAACCATTCATGATGGCAGAGCCGGTGTCACGGTCCTTGGTGATAGGGTTACGGTAGAGTGCGGGTACATACATCATGTTATCCTTAGTCTCACTGATGTTGAAGATAGATGCTCGTTTCTTCTCCTTTGCTTCCCTCAGCGACCGCTCCTGAGCATCAGAATCACTTTCGTAGCCAAGATTCTCCTTCACAACCAGCTCCTGATCGGGTGAGATCATGAACCGATGAGCTACCTTCTGCGGCTTCTCGCGGTCCTTGCAGTACCTCCTATAGCATAGGATGGCAAGGCCTTCAAAGATTAACGTCCCAACTAGAACGGCCACACAGGCAGCAATGAGCACCCCAACACTAACTGTGTTTTGGGGACAGTTAATTGGTGGGCTAGCTCCTCCTTGCTGTGCTGCTGGTGGTACAAGAAGGGCAAGAATGAGAACCACCAAACAAACCAGCGGAGTCGCATTGCCTATGGAAGTCATCTTGGAAGTTGCTTGGGGAGTTGTCGCAAACAGAAAAGCGTGAACTGTCACTAGTTTGGAGTTGATGTCATGCTATCACAGTGATTGCAGCAACTGGCAGTGGAAAGTCCGTTTCACCATCAACAAGGATCTGAAAAAGAGAAGAAGAAAAATTACTGAGAGGTTATGTACACTATTTGGAAACCCAATACTATTTGCGGAAGGGCCTGGACTGGACTTGAAATGAAACGTGGCTAAGCAACTGACAGCTAGACCAAAAGAAACAAGACAGACCCAAAATGGGGTGTATCGGGTAAATCAGGGTTTTCAGTAAAAGTTCCAGATGCTCATTCTGTGACTAACACATCAATTAAATGTTCAAAAATAAAAACACAAGGACATTTGAAGACCTTCAAAAAATGTTATTAGTTAAAGCCGTATTTTTTTAGGATTATACCGTTTTAGTCAAGTACACATGTACATGTAATTTTGTTAAACTATTTTTTTTCCAGCAAAACTAAAAAAGTACAATGTTTGTAGTAAAACATGTGGCAAGTCTTTGTTATAGGTTTCTTTGCTAAACGTTTTTGATTCTAATTCACATATTCATATATTCAAATTTGTCCCAGCATAATACGAGATGCCGTTTTTAGTCTTTTCGATGTCAATTTAGTCTTTTTTCATTCAGTTTGAAAGTTTGGTCAACCTATTAGGCACTTGGTCGAGAATATTCGTCAATACAGATTACATTCGTCTGAGCTCTTGCCGAATGGCAGCATTTAGAGATCAAATTCATCTTATTTCAATCCATTTAAAACCTGTGTTAAGTATATTAGTCTGGTGTGTGCTAGAGCATTTTCCTTGTGTACTCAAGCACAATTCGTCACATTCGTTTTGCATGATGTCAGTAGGTGTACTACAGTCAGAGGACAGTTTAATACCAAAAGAAAAGAGTAAAGATTACCAAGAGCAACAAAACCTAAAGCACTTTTACATTTAGAAATGAATAAACTAAGTGTTAAAATGACAGAAGGAAATGTCAGAAACTATTATGACCATTGATTCCCCGTGTAACATTTGTTTCTGCCTATTTTATAACATGTTTCAGAAAATTAAAAAAACATAAAATAAAAAAACATAAATTTATAAAAGAACAGGGAAATAAAAAAGTAAAAACTTATTCTTTTCAGCGGCTTAAACCCTTCTGCTGCAAAAGAAATTTGTTTTGTTATTCTTGGTAATCATTACACTTTTCATGCGAACGATCCTGTACTGAATTGTGCTGAAGGACACAAGGATAATGCCTTATAGCACGTCCACACCAGACTCATTTAATGAACACAAGATTTAAATTGATTGATGTAAGACGAATTCGATCTCTGAATGTTGTCATTCGGCAACAATGGCATTGACGAATATTCTTATTCCAAGTAGGCACACATGTACTGAAATAGGTTGACTAACTTTTGTAAATGAATAATACATAACTGCTTTGATTTTACCTATCCTAACAGTCGTGAATCCTCTAATTGTAATATGATTTAGCACGCCCCCTAAGGAGTTAGGGTTACTTAAAGCACGTGAATTCTTCTCGGACGAATTTGAATACATGAAATAGAATTGGTGATTTGGTAACATCATGCGAACGAATGTGCGGAATTGTGTTTAAGACACGTAAAAAAAAATGTTTAAGCACACACCCAGACTAATTTACTTATCATAAGTATTAAAGTTAAGAATATACGATGAATTCGATCTCTTAATGCTGTCATTCGGCAATAGCTTAGTCATTATATTTGTATTGACAAACATTCTTAACTAAGTATTTAAATAGGTTGCCGAACTTTGAAATTGAAAGTGAATGGTAAATGACTAAACTGATTATACTACAGCATGTGAAATTCTTCTCGGACGAATTTGAATCATATTAGAATTAGAGAATTGGCCTTATTCACGAGTCGGCCATATTGGATTGAGAGTGAGGTAAAATCTGTATTTTTGAAACTTGTGTAGAGAAATTAAACCAAGTTAATTTCTAATTAATTCCAGTCTGCTTCAGTGAATAAATTAAAATTTGTAATTAAACATTCCCTAATGTTTAAAGCCAGATTAAAAAAAGAGGGTAAATAATTAGGCTTCATTGTGCCTGCATAAATAGTCCGGCGCCATCCCATTCAACAGTTAACAATTAATGAATTACATTCAGGGAACACGACAAAAATTGCCAATTCGTGAATAAGGCCCATTGGAATCAAAATTGTTTTAAATAGCCGGAAACATACAAAGATATTTTTAAGTCATGATTCCTAACTTTTCCCTAGAAACGCGTCCATATATAGTTTGTCTGTAATGTACGAGTAAACAGTACCAGTGCTGTATAACGTTTTCAATGCCTTGCATTATTGGTCCACATTTTACCAACTCGTCACATAGCCATGAAATTGTAACGCATTGATGGCTTTGAACTCGAAGTTCATTTGTTTCGTACTAGTCACGTTTCAGGCGTAAGCACTTTTGAAAAGATAAAGTTTGTCTCTTTGAAAGTACAGACCTAGTTCATATTTGCCTTCAGGCAGGATTTGGTTCATTGTTGAAGCTTGTTGACAAGCCCTGAGTTGTTCTTTTCAACGCCGGTGCGTTGGTACATGTACGGTAGGCCCACACTGAGTTTGGGTGTGAAACGAATCTCAGTCGCCAAATAGAACAACAATTGGGTCATTGTTTGTGTCTGCCCCATGTTGGTCATACGCTTCTGGAAGTTTGAGAATAAGACCGGCGGGCTTAGGTTTAGATATCCAGAATGTACAATTCAGTGTGGGAATTCATTTCATCCATGCCCCCTGTATAAACATTCACCCCGGCTGTTAGGCGGATCGGAACATACATTTGTACTTTTACTAGACGGCCTCAGAAACCTGTCAAATGAACGCTTGTGTCCGTGTCTCTTGGCACCGTACCAAACTCTGAAATCTCAGTTCGATTATTGGAGCATATTCCCAATTGAACCAAAAGATTCAATACTAGGTTTTGCCCTTCACCGACGTATTAACTCTGTATACTCAGTGTTGAACCAAAATAATCTATACCAGTACATGTATATATTGCCTAAAAGTGAAACCAAAATATATTAACACAGAGCACACAAGTTGGACTGGATAGTTATCTTCTGATCCTGCACCCTACAATAAAATGACAAACTTTAATAACTTGACCAGATGTAGGTATAAAATCTAAAGACAAATGCAAGCACGCTAACAATTTTACCACGAAGGCCCCTTCAATGGCGAAAGCATTGTGCTATAATAGCGTTAAAACAGTCAGATAATCAGGGGCAGTTGCTTTGTACAATAGCGTGCCCAATGGTTTCGCCATTGAAGGGACCTTGTGACTGTACAGTGACCAGGTGCCCGGATGCGAATTTTATGATTCGAAAGCAGGTATTACCATGAATTTCCAGAATTTGCCGAGCAGTTCGATAGCTCAGTCGACAGGGTCGTGATTTTGTACCGCGAGGGATCTCCGCGACGTGGGTTCAAAACACCATTTTTACCCGATTTATTTTTCTTTTCTAACCTGAGGCTTAGGCGGATTTATTTTAAAAGGGAAATAAAGTCCGAATTCATTACGATCGAATTATTTTTTTTTCTTCTAATCTTATATTTTTTCTCATGTTTTTAAGGGAAGTAATGTCCAGAACGTCATAGCGTACACCAGGGAAAAAAATCGCTGCCCAGATGCGTCTATAAGTGAACATTCTCCACAAACATGCAATCTTGCACCGAGCGCCTACCAAATACACGTATACATGTATGACGCACCACCTCGCCCACGCCAACTTCATCTAAAGTGACACGACGCAGCTTTCCAGCAATCTGACAAGTGACCGCCCTCTTTTGAACTGCCAAGAATGCCTGAATTCTGATGAAAAGTTTTACATTTCAAAATATTTGCGCCCCAAGTGTTTGGTTAATAAGACCCTCAGTAATTCTTCTTCTGACCATAGAGTCGACCCCATTAAATCGCTCGGACAACAAACTGTTGAAAGGCTGAACAACCCAACCACGGCAGCCATTAACAAATGAATTGATGGGGGTTTGGGTTGGGGTATTTGAGCTTTTTCACTGCGTCGTACGACAATGGGTTTACAGATCACTGATTTGTGTTACAGGGGGCACTGACCAATGCACTTTTCGGTTTTCCTTGTAATCGTTGTTGTGTCCAAGTCCCCTCCCCGAGGCTCTCCCGCTTGAATTGCAGGTACATGTATAATTGTGAGGAGAGAAACATGCACATACAGTCCCACAAAAAAACTAACTGTCGAATCGGGCATGTTTTCAGAAAAGTGGGGGTAGTACATGTATTCAACATCGTGTCTAATGTATTGCTGAGTAGAATAATAAGGTCTTACAAATGCTTTTTAGTTGGTTTCATTAGGATGTTTTGTTTAACACAGCAATCACAATGCGGGACTTGAAAAACTACTTGGGCCACTTTTTTTATTTATTAACTTTACAGGTAGAAGCCGGTAGAATAAGTCACAAGTTGCTCTTGAACAAAAAAAATAAATCCTTTGTGTGTTTCTGTAACTGCGCTTTCTCACTTTCAAGGAAAGTGGCCCAAGACGGTTTTCAACCCTTGAGTTCGATTATAGCATAGCGTTTGTTTCAATGCATCCATTTGAATTAAATGAAGTGTGTATAGTAGATTGGTGATTTGAAAATGTTCCAAAACTCACATGCAGTACACCTTTATTAATTGGTTTTCGACGGTTTTTTGTGGGACAACCTGTATAGGCCGTGTTAAAAACATGTCTTACTATTGATCCTAAGTAACTCTGTTGTTTACCAATGGAATTAAACCAAAATTTCAGATCATGTAAACAAACGAACGACAAATTTTATGGAGCGAGTTTCATCAGCTTTGTGCAAGAGGGTGAGATATAAACGGCATACGAAAAGAATACTCACTTTCAGAATCTGCCACCTTCAACTTGGCTTCCTCCAATGCCGATACAGCACTGGAGACGGTGGCGGAAGGCGCGTATACTGCGGCCGAAAACTTCTGAAGGAATGCATGATCACCCCTGATGCCATTGCACACCGCCTCAATCGCTTCGTGCAACATACAATCGAGGAGGTGTGCAATAACATCAGGGGTGAACCTGCATTCCTTCAGAAGCTTTCGGCCGCAACACGCGCCTTCCACTACCGTCTCCAGCGCGCGCTGTGTGATTTTTGTATCGAAAAGTGCGAATTTTCTTCTTAAGGCGTTTAAATCTCACCCTCTTGCACAAAGCTGATGAAACTCGCTCCGTAAAATTGTCACGCCTTGTTTGCATGATCTGAACATTTTGGTTGAATTCCTTTGGTAAACAACAGAGTTATTGAGGATCAAAAGTAGGACATTTTTTTTTTTAAACGTAGTATAATGGTAAACGAAAAAAAAGAAAACCGCAATGATCCCAAAATATACAAGATACATGCATGGTAGGCCGGTTCTTATTCTTGAACAATGAAGCTCAATATATAAATAACTTCACAGATAAGAGATGTTGTTCAATTTATTACATTTGAATATAGAAAACAAATGAACTCGCTGAGCGCTCGTTGACACAGTTCGTTTCAAGATTCCACTAACTTAAGAAAGTTTAGACTTTGAAAACTTCTGCGGATTATCCAAAACAACGATTCTTCTCAATCTGTGCTGTTTGACAAACTGGACAATTTCATTTGGCAACAAAACTCATTAATTGTTCAGTTCTTCCAAAGAGTTCCCAGGGTTCGAACTTTGATGCAAGTTTGATTATAGACTGTTGCAATCAACCTTTTATTCACAATGCATCTTGCGTATGGATGACGAACAAACCAGGCAATTTGTGCATAAACCTATGGGGCTGTGAACCGATGCAGACTTTACAACTGATGTCATTCGATTCATCTTCATCATACATGTATATCAAGAACTAAATGATCATCTTTTCCCCCAGTGTTACATTTGTTATTAGAAATATGTATTTCATAAATCATGCTTTTAAAGCTTATCAGACTGAAGAGAGTTTTAGGGATTTTTTAGATACCAGTTCCATTACCATGAATATGCATATTATTATGGCCCTGCTAATATAGGCCAATCAGAACCAATATTTCAAGCTCACGCCTCCAACACAGACCAATCACAATCGTTCCTCTGGGCCTGATGCCTGGTACCTTTAAAATAAATTCTAAAGTTTAACATCTGAATTTAAGTTCCAAATTATATTCCATGCGTAAAAGGTGAAGTCAGGATCAGTTAATTGTGGAAAAATACTTCAGAAAAAAAATTATTTAAGCCTGACTGGTTCACGCCCGAATAGGTTTGTGCATAAACTGCATTGATTCTTTGTCATCCATACCCAAGATGGAATGTGAACATCGGAAAGGTTTCGTATCGAATATCACAATACGTTCAACACTTTACAGGGCAAGTTAGTACGTGTATATCTATGGGGGCTGTGACGGTGCCAGTAACAGAACAGTATAGGTAGGAATTAATAGAGGTCTCTTTATTCACAAACTGAAATACTCGGAGTTCAACGTTGCGTGAAGAAGCCGAAATAACAAGGTATTTCTTTGTAATTGCAAAAGGTAAAGGGTTTCAGGAACCATGAAATGCCGACGACGAGAGTATATTCACCTGCAGGGGTTTCAAAAAGGCTTCACTATAGTTCAAGTTGAATCGAATTTTTATTCAGTAATTCATCATCGGGGATTGCCATGTGACAGGGTGAATTGTGCGGGTCATTCATTTCGCGATAAGGCAAAGGCGTGTGGGGAGATTTCGGCGCCAGAGGTTGGGCTGGAAGAGCGAATATAATAGCCGTCTGTTGTCCGAAAAGGTTACGTGGTCCCGTGATAACTACTTCTCGCCATTTTACTGACTCTGACCTTAGCAATCAAATTCTCCAAACGATGAGGTCTTGCGTACATTGAGTATTTAGAAATGGCGTTTTTGAAGTCTAAATACAATTAAACAGTGCATTGAGTGATAAACTGCAGAACAGAATTTGCGGAAAGTAGTTATCTTCAATACTAAGGGGCATTACAAATACAATCATATAAACATTTCTGCTACATGTAGCCACCACGCACCTGCAACCGTAGTGGAGTTTTGCTTGCAGTATTCGACAGATACAGACTGTGCTTACATTGTAAGCACAGTCTGGCGCGTGGTGGGTGGCTATAATCTGGCCAAAAATCAAACCAGAAATCATCCAGGAATAAGATCCTAATTGCCTTTAACTGCTTGGCAATCAAACACGAGCTTGAGTATTAACAATTGTTACATTGTCACGTCGCCCAAAGACGCAAACACCGGCCACTATCCGTTAAATAACAGTTACAAAAACAGCCATAGGCCTATGCCTATGAAGTATAGCATTCATGCACATCGTCCAATAAATCAAACTGTTTAAACAATGAATCAAAATAAAAGGAAAAACACTATTGGGACTGAACATTATTTTAGACAACCCCGTCTACTATGGAAAAGTTCCAAAACCGAACTAAATCTAGAAGACAGTCGCCATTTTTGTGGATGTGTACTGTACAAAGTCCATCTGTGGTCGAAAACAAATCCGAGTAAATGAGATTGGAAAGTTTTCTAGTCGTAGCTTTTTTTTTCAAGATATTTCAATAACAAAGGGCAAAATATCTTGTGTGGTACATAATTAGCGGAACATGCCGAAAATACGGAACGCAAAGTAAGTAATCTAACTATAGGCTTGTGCATTTCTTTTCGTTTGAAGCAGTACAACTGCTAACGTAGGTAGGGTGCATAATATAGCCTACCAAATTCAGCACGGTGGCCCGTACGTACAAGTCATGTACACATGTCTGAACATTTTGAGGAAACAGAGAAGACGTAGGCCTATGCACAATTTTTGGGTCTCATACATGACTAACTGGATTCTGTTAACCCAAACTCCCTAGCGTCTTTTACTAGGAACTGGACCAAGTCCATCAAAATCCATCAATCACTGTGCGTCATATACAAAACTGTACATGACACATTTGAATCCACCACTGACGTATTTATCTGGGCAGTTCCAACTTATTGGACAAGTGTTCATCAGAAAAGATACCATCATAAAGTGGATTTCAATTCTGATAAATGGTATCAAATAGTTACTACAATTATTTTTTTTTTTAAATATCAAACGTTTTTGTTCACGTATAGTAGAAATCGGCTCGAAAAACGGGTGTCGCACGTTCTCAGATAGATTGATTTTGTTGATACTTGGGCAATTCAGTTATGAAAGGAAGTGTAATACCCGTGACAGAGCCAATGAATAATATGCTGCATGGAATTGCCTACTTTGCTAATTTGTCAGTTAAAAGTAACTGAATAGTTGAGCATTATTTAAAAATAAACTTTATTTCAATAAAACATAGCTACATGTATAAACTTCTTAATGATATGTTTCAATTAAATTTTTAGTTTGAAGGTCAACACTGACGTTTATAAATGCCTGGAATTGCCCATTGATGTTTTTTTTATTTGTATTTAGCCTTAAACCGTTTAAGGAAGAAGTTGTGCAGATTTCTGCATCTTCATCAGATCTTCCACAAATGCATACTACAGGTTACTACTCAGTAGTATTTTGTAGCTTTATGTGGGTCGGAGGTTAGGGTTAATAATGAATTTAGGATTACGTAAAACTGTTACGTATGGATGTCCAAAGCGGAGTTGCAGGGCTATCTGTTTCGCATGTAAAAGGCCTAGCGTACTACAGGGCGAGTCGTGATTCACGGTGTATTTGAGTTTTACAGATTCGTTTGAAAACTAAAACAGTCACATCAACATCAATAATGGAAGAGACTCGATCGACAAAAACGTGTATGAGTAAATAAAAAGTTACGTCAAAAGTATATCACACTTTACGAATACTAACTTCAAGATATTGCTTCATTCACTCTGAGTCTTAGCACTCGATCGTGATGTGAAAAAGCTTATGGGTGGGACATAATGTACGATGGTTCCCTGTACGATTGTATGCTTGGTATCAGAACTTCAGCATATAGCTGGTCAAGTGCTCAACTCACCAGAACAGAAATATCGACCTCCAAGAAATTATCCATGCAGTTTCACCGACTCCATATCAGCCATGGACTATAATAATCCGGCCTCGTCATCAACTCAAGTTGCCCGATCGTATACGCCCAAATCAAAAATGAAGTTGCCTAGCCCACACACAGAAACGCAAGTAGCTCGCCAAATAAATTCCCTGGAAACTATGCATGTACGAAGCGTATAGTGTGACAGCAACAATGAAGTGACCCAACCACAAACAGTTACGACCCAGTGCACAAGCACAATACTCCCCCTCAAAACCGCTGCTTGGTCTGTCGATTTCTTTTCACAGTAAAATCTCCTGCGTCTGGTTAGCTGCCACACAATGAAGGCATTTAAATCCACACACACCTACGGGCCCGTGCGCGTCATGCATACGTGTAAATTATTTGGAAATGTTGCAACTACGGATAATGTTTACAAAAAAGACGTTGTCTAGTGCTAGCTGTAAGCTCAAACAAGCAGGTTTAGAAAAGTAACTGCGCCTCCTTAATTCACTGGCAAATATTTATATTCCTTGAGTAAACTTTAAAGTGTTAAGAATATAAACAACGAGCCGCCACTGTCATGCGACAGGGGCCGGCCGGAGCAGGAATGAGTCGATTTTTATTTGCATTTATCCCAAAAGTAACTTACCGAATTATTGTCAAACAGCCTACTTGGATTAAAGATCGTACCGGTACTAAACACACCGTGAAATTCTTCCGTCTGGCTTGCATTTATACTATCAAGAAATATAGGTGGTTTACAGCGATCAGTCAATAATTGATTGATTTTTAAAATAAAGAGTTATATTATATAGTATATGGAGCGCCAAAAGTGGATAACCGCATTTTCCCATTTTGCGCTAGTAGAATTTTAGGTGTTTAGAAATACCAACACCTGTTGTTTTTTTAAACTCAATTTTCTGCTATCAGAAATTTGGATTGTACTTTGACGACTATCTTGGCGCTTCAAAAGTGGACAACTAAAAATCTCAATTTTTTTATTAGCAAAAATTATGATTCTTCAAAAGTGGACAACCCCGTTTTCCCATTTCCTGGCTGCAGAGATTTAGATTTTAGAAGTCACAACACCCTTTTTTCAAAATGTAAACCTTCTGTCAGCAGAAAACGTGGGTTTTATTATGACGACTTTTCTTGACGCCCCAAAAGTGGACAAATAAAAATTGCTCTCCTCGTGCTTTTAGTACAAATGTGAATCCCTTTTGAACAATATCCTCCCGCGTTGAGTTAAGGGATAATTATTCGACAAATTTTGAATTAGTTGCGCCGCTATACGATAAACAGATTTTGTTTCGTGCGACCCAAAATAATAGCCTTTAAATGATTGCAGACATTAAAGAAAAGAAGCTCTTTTCCGTTAAATGAATTGTACAAATCAAGGGCAAAATGAATACTATAATTGAAGAGCATACTGATAAATATTAATTAAATATGTTTATAGATGCAGAGAAAAGAGGTGGTAACACCGTCTTGCATGCGTTGATTGTCAGTATGAAACCTATAACAGCCTTTTTCAGTCGTTGGGTCAGCAGGATATTAAGGTATTGATTGCGTGTACCGTATGGGTGGAGGAACCTAGAAATCTGAAGATAAATCAGGATGTTTCGAAAGTGTATCATCAAGGTGTCTAGTCACCAACGAGGAATTTCCCAAAGTTCAAACTGAAGTTCCCATGACCTCGACAGGAGACAGGCAGCATAATGCACACTTTTATAAAAAATATGCACAATGAAAACAAGACTCGATGGAAAGTCAGCAATATTTACGGACAATAAATTAAGCACGCATGATTAAACATCAAGCCAATTGGAAAAACAATGACCCGAATTTCAATACGCAATCTTACAGGCCTGTTTTTTTTTTAGATGAAAATATAGTATCGGAAATTTTACCAAAGCAAGTTTTCTGCACTAGGCGGTCACATAATTATAGGCCATTCGAGCTTCTTTTTCTATCATATATTTCCTTACCATTTTTACTGATCCATTGCGAATCTAATGATGAGGTCTGTTTCTCAGGAAGACAGCAAAACGGTCACGGATCCTCAGAACAGAACTTTTTATCTCTTAAGATAACACGTTACTAGTACTCCACACAACGTCGACTCCAGCTAAACCACAAACGGCCTCCAAACGTCACTTTGGTCGCCACGGCAAAAAAACAACCTGGCCCCAGTAACTTCAAGTTCGCTCATTAAAGGACCCGCCTACAACTGTTGTCTTGCTGTTGACAGTCATGAGAACCACGGTCGCGTACGGTCGGCAAATTTTATTTTGCATCCACGTTTAGTCACTCATCATAATTCGCTTGCGTGAAACATAATCACGTGATTGAAAAAAAAAATGCCACGTGATTTGAGATGAATTTATAAGGTTTTAAATTTCAAGCAAAAGTCGAACCGACACGTTCCATGCAAGGAGAAATGGCTGGGCACTGTATCTTCGAACCCTCAAATATTTTCTTTTCTCCAAAGATTTGACTTGTTAAGCTCTAGCAGGAGGTTCTACACATGTCACTTTGTGGTCGGTCGGACGGTCAGTCTGTCTGTTCCCGAAAACTGACCTGAGTATGGTGTACCATATGTGCCATCGGCGTAGCATTTTTCGGCGTCGCATTTTTAAGCTCTGGCAGAGATCATGTTGATCGATTTTTTTTAGCTCTGGTAGGGTCACCGTTTTCATCGATTTCATGCAAGTCTGTCACGCAAGACCCGAACAAGGTGACCGCCATTTTGTGTAGTGGTTGGACGGTGTCCAGAAAGAGGAAATGTCTCAAAAATTTACCAAAAGTATGGTAATCCATAATATACCATCGGCGTCGCACTTTTCGCTAGGGCTTATTGTGCACTCGTACCTGCCTTTCTTCAGTTGTGCTTGATACAGCGCCGGAACGATGATCTGGTGGTCGCAGGTTAAAATCTCGCTCAAGTCAATTTCTTTGTTCAACTTTAAAAATTATTGTGGTTTTGTTATGTGCTTTCAATTTAGTAAATTTCACCTATTGTTTTCGATTCAAGTCTCTGGATTTAAAAATATTTTTTTAAAGCCCGAGAATCATGCATTTACAGCTGACGCATGCGCATTGTGGTTAAGTGACTATCACTTGGCTGCAGAAAAAAAATGTAATGCACAAACGGTCGCACGGCGAAATAAAAAACGCGGTACGGAATTCAGCAGGCAAGGCCAAGAACAATCCGCCGTCTCTCACGGGTGTCAATGGAGTCAGAGAGTCGCTTACAACTCCGAAGGCCACAAGAATATCAAATGAATCACAGAATACTCCAACACTGTGGGAAAACGTCGACCCTGGCTGAAAAAGAAACATTTCATGTTGACATATCGCCTACAAGTCAACTTGGAATGCAGCGTACTGTTTTCTGTGTCAATAATTAGTGATCGCAACATTGATCAATTCAATGTGAATGTCTAAAATAAGGTTAGGGAGTGGCGAGGTAGTATTCTTACTATTTCTCGCTGACAAATATTTATATTGACCACAAATATTGTTCGATTTCGTGAAGAGTTGAAATCAACATCTTCCTTTAATCTAATTTTCATCCAGGTATATGGGATTGACTTTCGTTTTAGGTGGGGATCTTGTTTATACCAGTTTGAATAGGAGGTCACGAGGCACATTATTGAAAACCATCATTATAAGAAACAAATAAGGAAAACTACAGGTTTTGTTTTTACAGAATTAGCAAGGAAACCGCGCCCGCTAAAGTTATACAGGGATGTATCAAAATAAAGGTAATCCAAAAACAATGGGCTCATTTGTAAAATTTAGGAAATTGTACAACGTCAAAGTGGTCCCAACTTAAAGGGTAGTTCAGCTTTCAATTGATACCTTAATTGCGCCTCTTCGGTCACAAAGGGGAAAAAACTTTGTTGAATAAGTGGTGAGTTAAGCTTTCTGATGAATGCGCTGTCACGGCTTTTGGGCAGTGCGTTAAAAAGGGGGTATGTTAGAGGTGTTGTTGCTTAAAACGGTGCCTTATGTTGTCCATAAATAATTAGTCATTCCAAAGATTTTGTTTTTCATCAAACATTATAGCAATGAAATTTAACAACCTTTAAAACATAGCTTGCAATGGGCATAGCCTATTAAACCATGCCAAGTTGGGCCAACGCCCAAGCCAAGTTTTGAGTGTTTGGTTTTGCACTAGATATAGTTTTTGAATGAATAAACGAGATATCCTTGAAATGATTGATTTAACCATGAAACATGACATTCCATGTATTCTCAAACACTTTCAACATCGTCTTTAGGTTCCTCAATTCAACACAAAATGCGACTGCGCAATTTAACAAGAAGTGAAACTTCAATCTTATATCAATGGCTATCTGGTTGGCTTCGGGTCTATAATTTTTTTCGCTGATCGCTGACATCAAAACCAAATTGTATTATCATACAAAACTGTTTAAACTGGTTATTTAAAATTGGGCATGTATCTACAGTGTATTTGAATGAGGGCATAAATTTAGCCGGCGTTCGAATCAGAGCTTTATCAGAAATCACCCAAAGCCAATGATGAAACACCGAATTGCAAAATGTGTTAAAATCCGGTTCCTGAATAGTATTTTGTGCATTCCAGAACCAGGATTTGGGAGTCTGTGACACGTTGTGTGTTTGTACATGGAAAGTGGCCGCTGCATCGGACTGTATTCTTATTCGCAAAGTGACGTGAACATAAGTTTTGGACCGTATATATGTCATTGCAAATATTTTTCGCGAAGTTTTGCTTTTATGTTTACGACTTCAATCTTACAATACTAGCCTTCGCTCGAGTCGAGTCGAGTCTTCTGATGAGGGACTCGAGTGAAGTCGAGTCATTCGCTCGCACTGACTCGAGTAGAGTCATTTACCCTTAAGGATTTGAGTCGAGTCGAGTCACCAGAAATTGTGACTCGATTCGGACTCAAGTCGAGTCATTGACTCGATACAACTCTGATGCACCAACATCTCTAACATACCCCTTTTAACGTTCTTCCCACAGCGACATGGGACAGTGTACAACTTTCTGCGGGTGTTTTCGCGCCTGGATAATTGTTTCCTATAGCCCTTTCGCATTACGTCATTTCTACTTGTTTTCTCTCAGTTTCCTCGACTTTTGGAATGCGGGCTTTGCGTCGGTACATTACAACCATCAATAACTATGATTGATGGCGAATCAGAGACCAAAATATAAAGTCCCCGATATTTGGAA